GGCCCTGGGCGAATGGCAGGGGGACCTCAAGGTGGGGGGTTCACCAAGTTCGGAGTTCCTCAAACGGCTACCTGACTGAAAAGCACATTACGATAGTAAGCAATTTTGCTCATTTTCATGCATCAAGAAGAGAAATAACATATCATAGAAGAAAAAGTTGCTAAGAATACAAGAGTACCCTCCGTTCAAAAAAATCTCGTGTTTTAATGAACATCAGAGATTTCTAGAATATCCAAGACGTTAATAGGGGCTAATTTTTTGCGGAATTTCGCCGATGCATCGCATAAAACCACCTCACTTGGTAGCAGGTCGAACCATCTTGCGGTACGGGATACAAAGGAGTTAAAGGCTACGGTAAATATTCTACCACTCAGCTCCCTATAGCAAAGACCGAACATATTTTATTCTAGTCGTGAATAAGTGGAGCAGGCACGGCACATGTGGCTTACAGGGCAAGCTGGATATCGTTGCGGAATAAAAAGCAAGGGGGATATCGTTAAAGTGGAAACGCCAGCCCCCCCCCCCTCCACACGCACACAATCGCCTTCTGCCTTTATGTCACCCATCTTCTATAGAAGACGGAAATTGTCATTTCTGACTTATCGATCTGGAAAACCAAAATCCCGTTTCAACAGGTTCGCGGGCTAAAGGCGCGGATTCAAATCTGCTCCGAAATAAACAAAAGACTTGCTTACAGAATAGAAAATGAGATTACACCAATTGGTGTGTAGATGAGCAATGGGGACTTAGGACTGTGCGCGAAAAATTATGAAAAGTTATGTGAAATGAAGGCGTGGCAAATTTTTTGCGGAGTTACTTTCCAGCCACCTGGACAGCCATCTGAGGTGGCTGTGAAAAGAAAAAGTCATATATTTTCCTTTCTTCACATAATTTTCGCACTTATTCAACATAACCTTGTGCTACATCAAAAACCCTAAAACTTTCTTCACAAAATTTTCTCAAATATATAACATAACCTTGTTCTACATCAAAAACTCTACAATTGAGTTTTTAAATCTCCCTAAACCCCTCTTCCTCGCCTAGTTACAGCCCTCCAAATACAAGGTGTCCCAAAAGTATGTATACACTGTCTGATCGCTAATATCTACTTTCCCAAGAAGCCTTTTGCCCCTTAAGTACCATTTTGTACAGCTGGCTTCAACTTACAAGGGAAGTGTCAGAACTCGCAGTGGCCTTTTGACATGAAATGGGTATCATCTGAAGCAGCTTGAAATGCTGATTCCAAAACAGCCTTTCTTAGCTGCAAAACCAATCTAGGACGAGAATCATTGAATTTAATTTGCGGAAAAATTACAACGCTGAGAATAGCCAAAAATTAAAGCGAACATTTTTTGGGCTCAAACATAGATGAAATAGTCCATCAATATTTAGCGTAATTCCACGCCTTCATCAAAGTCATACCGTGGTGCTTAAACAAGCATTTATATTGTTTCCGTGATCACAGGGTACTTCAAACAATGTAAAATTTAATGTTTAAAATGCCCATAACTCGCGACCCAGATCAGTTCTGCAGCTAAGAAAGTTTGTTTTGGAATCAGCATTTCAAGCTGCTTAAGATGGTACCCATCCCATGTCAAAAGGCCACTGCGACTTCTGACACTTCCCTTGTTAGATCGACAGGAAGGAGCGCATCACCAGTGCTACAATACCGCTCACAGAATGTGCAAAATTTCCATGAATGTCGCAGAATTCCAGGAATTCCGCGAAGGTTCGCGAAATTTCGGGAACCTTCGCGGAATTCCTGGAATTCTGCGACATTCACGGAAATTTTGCACATTCTGTGAGCGGTATTGTATTCATTACTGTAGGATTGCGTCAAAAAGTTCAAAAAGGGTTATGAGCCATCAAGGACCTATTTCGCCTCAGAAAGCAAACCGAACAAACAGAAAACTTTCATAAGATCAACTCAAGCCGCTAAAACCTAATGTGAATTCGCACATTACCGCAGTGCTTCCTTCATAAGTTATGCCAGGTAGACCGCAATAGCTGTTTTTACAAAACCCCCTGAAATCGTGATTACATCATCATAAAGGTTTGCAACCTCGTAAAAAGTTGATTGATAAAATCAGCGAGCTTGAATAGTACACCACTTTTCAGACTTTTTGGAAACTTTTTTAGAAACATGGTAAATCCGTAATGACTCTATAAGTTGAAAGTTCCTACCGTAGTCATACAAAAGAGAACAGCGATCCGTGATCAGCTTTATACTGTGAATCTAAATTGAAGCCAGCTCTACATCCACGACCGTGCACTTATTACATAGGAGGTCAAAAGATTCGAGTGACAAACTCCATAAAAGACCTTGGCATTACCTATTCTGACAACCTCAATTTTGACGACTATATAAATGAAATTACAAGAAATGCCCATGCTCGATGTAACTACATATTACGTGCCTTTAGAACGACGAAAATCCAAACTCTCTTCAAGCTTTTTGTCATTTACGTCCGTCCAATGCTAGAATACTGTACACCTTTGTGGTCTCCAACTAAGAGAAATGCAATTGACGCCTTAGAAAGAGTGCAGAAGTCATTCACTGCACGAATATTTGCAAGAGCTGGGCATTTCCATGTGTCATACAAATCAAGACTTTCTATACTTACCACTACCTCTTTGAGACTCAGAAAAACAATTTATGATCAAAATCTCGTCTACAAGATTATGACTAAAAGAATCTATCTCACGATGCACGATTTTTTCGTATTATCCAACTTTAATGCTATAACTAGAGGACATGACTTCAGGTTTATCATAGGAAAGGTGCAAACACAGCAATTTCATGACTCTTTTCCGATACGCATAATCAACACATGGAACAAGCTTCCAGTAACGGCGATTAAAGCTTCATCGACATTTGTGTTTAACAGAGAAGTTCAAAAAACCTTGAAATCTAAAGGATTCTTCTAACAACATTTTTTTACAGAACGGAGTAAAAAACGCTTTATTGGATCACTATTACTGATCTTCGACCAGCTATTTCAAAACGCCAAAATTACCATTCAGCACCTCTGTACCTTTTTTTATCTTCTATGTATTCTTCTCCTCTGTGTATTTTTATTGATAGTTTATGTCTTTTTTTGCACAAAAAATTTTGTTTATGGCGAATCATTTTCCTTATTGTCCTGATCCTGCTGCTTATTTGAAAAGAGATTCTTTTTTGAGGGCTAAGTCAGCTAGCTTTTGCCCGCAAGCTCGCTGGCATTTAAACAATGGGATGCACATTACTTTTCAAAAGGCAGCAAGATTTTTTTATGTCGATTGTTTGAGTCCAAACTGTACTTATGTTGTGTGATCTTTTTTGGAATCGACTGTTTACGTAAATAAATAAATAAATAAAATGGTATTGTCGATTCGTTGACCGCACGGACCGCTTGAACGCTGCTTCCCACGCGCAGCGCGGCTGAATTGTCGCGAGAGCACCACTTGTTCAATGGCGGATTTGTACTGGGACAAGCGTTTTACCTCGCGGCGCGTACTCCGCAGTGATGTCCAGTCCGTGCGGTCAACGAATCAACTATACCTGAAAATGGGCAAAAGGCTCCTTAGGAAAGGAGATATCAACGGTCAAACAGTGTATACATACTTTACAGGGATTGTCTACAGGGATTTCGTTTCTGAAAAATTAAGAAAGTCACCTTATACCGAGCTTTGAAGTGGAGAAGTTTGGTAAGGCCTCAGTCATATTTTGCTCGATTCCGTTGTTGCGCAACTCTGCGCTGCTACGATTCCTTTTGGAGACACATGCTGTGTGATGAAAAGCTATTTGCATCCAGTCACAGAACCTAGCGCTCATCCAATAAAATGCGTTCACGGCAGATTTGTGGACATCGGGCGAACTGTCTGAACAAATTTCATCACGAGCATCTATACCGAACTGTAGACGACATGCAGTGCGCGTATAAAGCTGATTTGGGCCCATCCGTTGGAATCATCTGCTGGTCAGCTTTATGGGGAAGGTTGCGTCAACCTTTAAAAACGCATGCCAATACAAATCAACCACAAGTTCAGAAACGCTTTCACTGCTTGAGCGAAGTTGCTAGATTGCTTGCTGAGGATAGAAATACACTGTTCAAAACACCAAAACTGCGACGATTACACAAAGGCCTACAACAAAGGCTCTGATTTAACGATGGTCCAACAGTCAGCGATTCATAATCTATATATTTATAAAACTCAATGTCTGTGAGGATGTTCGTTTAGTTGTTCGTTCGTTATAGAAACGCCCGTCAATAAACCGATTGAGCTAGAACTTTGTACACATATATTTTCGACCCTGGAGGTGGTTTAGCGCTACTTTTTGCGGCGATTCGCTAAGCCATTCTATTGCTTTATTGATTTTGGACATAAAAATGAACTCTCGACATGCGTTAACAAGCCATTTCCATGATTTCGCGTAAACAGCGGTAGAGTTCATTCTATTTTCACGGTAAAAAGAATGCGGTAATTCAAGGCGAGCCTACGGCGGGTGAGTTACTTTGACTCAGTAATCCCTTATAGCGCATCATAATGACTAGGTGGGAAACGAGGGGGGAGGGGGAGGAGGGGGACTGGAGCAAGCACATTGGAGGAGGCGAGAAAGTTGGAGTTGACGAGCGAGGACGACACGCTCTTCTCCTCATGCTTCATGATGAGGAAAGATACCGTCCAGAACCGGCTCCGAAGCCGCGAACCGGGCGAGACCGGGAAAACCAGCTAGTAAGTTATATGATTGTACGAAACGGTACGAATTATATGCATGGGTGTGCGCAACGTTCCATTAATGTACTCATTGACGTATACAAAAACAATAGGCGTCGAATCATTTAGCGATAGAATCATTGGGTTCTTCCTAACAATAACCTAGTAAGTAGTAGTAATCAGTACAAATTGACAACACTAATCGACCATGTTGTACTTGCTTATATCTAACATGTTGGGTCATATGTATTTACCAAACTCACCAACCGAATGATCAGTAATGCTCATTTTTGTTAGAAGCTACAATTAGCGGCGCACTTGAAATGGTAAGTCTGTCCAGGAAGTACGAAGCGACAAAAACGATAACTTCCAATACGACTATCGCTCATAAACGAAAGAACTTTATTTTGAGCTAAGCTAAGATTTCGCAAACAAGATTATCTTTGTGAAAAGTTTGTTTTGTTTTATCTGAATTAGTTGAGATTTCGAATTCGCTCTGTCGCTGTTGTTATAGTCGCTGTTGTCACGATAGATTTCCTCTGAAATCAACTCCACCAAGAATTCCCTTCCCTCAGCGCCAAGCTCTTTTCACTAACCCTTTAAGCGGGGCTCTCTTTCTCGGGGCCGTCTCACCTACCTCTGCAGCTCTATCGCGATCGTGCCCTCTAAGTACCGCTTTGCCCACGCTTGTAATGGGAAAGTAATTAGAGAGCACGCTCACGAAAGAGGTGCAAGGTCCCAACGGCCTCCCTCTCCAACCGCAAATCATGTTAGATCAGAGGGTAGTTCTAGAGCATTTTTTATAGTCTGTGAACGGGGAAGGTAAAGCTCATCACAATCTCGGGATCAAAATGCGGTGAATCGAAGTGGAATTGTCTAGGTTAGTCATTGAGTGGGGAAGACCTCTCTCAGTGCAATAACTATGCTGGAAACCAAAACAGCTACTTCAAACCTCAGGGGCAATAACCGGGTTGTATCGGTTCATAGGAAACTCAGTCGACACATTTTTCCTATGTGAAGAGAGCACGTTGTATATCCATAATACCAACTGTCTGTCCCGATTTTGTGGCAAGTTTCAAATTACCCTACAAAAAATCAAAAACTAAGTGGACTGAACGTGTAATACCCTAATGAACAGCAAGACGCTGTGAATTTTCGAAATTTGGGGCAAAGGAACTTTCGTGCCAACCTAGCATATATCAGCGCGGTCTCAGAGGTTGTGTTCGGGGGGGGGGGGACAGAATTTTTATCGACTGAACGTGTGTGACATTAACCACGCAATTCCTATATCTTTTTGGATGCTTCTTAGAATTCTCGCGAACCCATAGCCCGGAATTCCAGAAGACGATGTGGCGGCAGCTCGAAAATTTTTTTGAAAGCCAATCCAAATATTTCATTTTCATCATTTGCAAGTATAAATCAGTCACTTACCATTTTTGTATATAACTTCCAAAAAATGTGTGACCCATTGTTGAGGAGGTGGAAAGCCCCCCCCCCTTCCAGGGGGGGGGGTCAGCACTCTATAAGTATACATGTATACATATACAATGCGTTCAACGGGGACAGTGCCGCGTAGTGCAGTCACACACCTGCGCGCGGAAGCTACCTTGGGCTGCAGCGTGCAGGGACCATGCCGCGGAAAGCGGGGTTGTTTTAGCTACTCTTCCTGCTTCTTTCTTACAAGGAAAGGATACTTGGTCACCGTGGCCATTTGGAATGCGATGTATACTTTGAGATGCACCTCGAAACGCTGATTCCAAATCTGTGTTCGACATCTGCGAAGCGATCTTCTAAAGAAAGTTATGAACTTTTCTTCGTAGAAGATTTGCGTACTTTTGTGTAGATAAAATCACCAAATTTGTTCTAAGTTACCATTTGAGGCTATTTGAGAAAATCTTAAAAGGAATACTGTTGTATTATGATTATCTAAATCATATTCAGCATTTGAAAAGGAAAGAAAATTTCTTATTGATGATTTTGACCCTCCGCAGTAACGCAGTTTATATATGGAAAAATAATCATAACTCCATTCAGATTATCGTTTCGCAGATATGGAAGACAGTATCCGAACCAGCATTAAAAGGCGCATTTTTTGATATACAAATCATTATGAATGGCCGCAGTGACCATGTATCCTTCTTTTGTTAGCTTATTCGCTGTCCTGCTTTCAAATTTCTGAGCTTTTACTGTCTGAAACTCTACTTTGATACTTCCTGAGAACGGAGAACCAAGTGGAGGTTTGAGGTCTAAAAGAAGATGTAGTCGAAATCATTTCGTTTGAGAATTCTGAGAACGACTGGTGCTCTTCCTTACAGCTAAAGATGAATATGTGAAGGGTAATGGTATATGGTACAGGTTGAAAGAACAGTTTTGGTTTGTTCATTAGCGAGTTGGCGCTGTTCACTCAAACCTAAACGATATATGATTATGTCCGCTGTGACACGAGCCGATTAATGAATCATGACATCCGGAACGGCCGTCCGAAAAACGTCCGGATGAAATGAAAGATGCCGTGAGGAAAAGCGCTCAAAGATTTGATACCTCGTTCCTATGCTGCAAAAGAATCATATCCGGATAAAGACAGATCGCATGTGAACACAGAAGCTTGAAAAATGGCAATCCGCTGTTACGAAGAAATAAAAGCACGAATTACAGTGATAAAAACAAGGCCCGCGACGTTGCGCAGCATGGTCCCTGCACGCTGCGAGTATGATATCGCTAGCGCGTAATTGTGTTACTGCACTACGCGGCGCTGGCCTCGTTAAATGCATTGTATATAGATTTGTAGATCTACAATGGAGAGATGCCACCAAACTTGCATGAATTGAGACCGCTTTTGAATAGAGCTCTGTCATCTTTGCTGTCAGAGGTGAGTTTAATTTTTCGTAATGCAAATGTGATAATTGCATCTGAGTGAGGTAAAACCATTTTCTTCCTTGTCACTTACTGTCAAGCTGGTGTCGCTGGCACTGGGTTGCTGAAAGAGACTTTGAAGAACTCTTGGAACGGTAAATTTGCAGTAGATGCCATAAAACCTTGGTTTGAGGTTGATTGTGGGGAACCAAATGGAGATTACATGCGCATCTCCATTAGATAGCTATAGACAAGGCAGCTAAGCCTGCGGCGCAGCAACATGGAGAATTCTAAGCATAATCTGAAGAGGAGGAAGATGGAAGTCTCGTATTACAGTTAAGTAAAGTAAGGGACATTGGGATAGAACGGATAAAGTACGTTTGAAGGAGAGGCGCTCCTTCAGCTGCGATATGCTGGTGGTGGAACCCTACCTTTTTGACCTGGTGTAGGGCAAACATTGGCAATCAGATATAACCTGTAAAAACGCGACTAGCATCCGCTTTGCGACTGGTAGCTCTGCTGCTGTTTTTATACCAATAATGAAATATAAAAATGGCTCAACAGTGATCTTGCTAAAATTTTATAATTTAAGCACTATCCAAAATATAACAGACTATTAGAAGAGAAAGAAATTGCATTAAAAACAGCTTAAAACATACGCAACTCATTCGCAGCTGGGAAAAGTACAGTCTTTCGCTCCGCCACCAAGATTTTTGTGAGTAATGTAAAGTACGTAATAACCTTGTTTACACGCGAACTTCGTTCCAATGTATAAAGACATTCCGAAAGTTCTCTCCGTTTTTTCTATCGTGAAAATACCTAAATCAAAGATGAGCATAAATCCAAAGACTATTCGACGCAGTTTTTCTCTCTCTCCAACAACTGTGTTTCTAAAGCATTTGATTCAGCGGTCAAAAAAGTAATCGCCAAAATTTCGAACTCATGGTTCTTGCCACACCCAAATTTGGCGATGTTCAAATCCTAAGTCTTTATTTTTACAAAGTCGTGCGGTACATGAAATTATCAAACAGTGGCAAATCTTCGAATCTAGGTGTTTCAAAACACGACTATCATTAAACACCGATTTTACAAGCCAGAACATGCTGCTTCGAAATATCAAATTTTGCGTTTTACGGGTAGCCATAGGCGCGTTAATAAAGTTACAATCAAGACCATTTCATCCTCGAAGGTTCCACACATTTGGAAGATGAAACGCTTAGAAGAAATGAAGCTGCATCGAACAGTATCCGACTTGCATGTCGGTTAATGTTCTGTGAGATTTCGCTGAACCATGTCAGAAATTTGTTAACGACAGAAAAATCATTTTGGTAATTGCAGAAAGCCAGCTATTGGGCCAAAAGAGTCGTACAATAGCTTTTTTCTCTATTCAGCTGTTATCGAAACTTTTCTAAAATTACAAAATAAATTAAGAAATCACCAAACTTGGGTATGACACATTATAAAAACTATGGTTTAACATTTCTATATATATCTTAGTAAGTACAAAAGCAAATAATCCCAAAACATTACTGCTGGAAAAACGAAGAAAAAACAGTCTTGTAATCGTTTGAAACCATCGTTTCACGTGTTCTTATGGTGAGTCGAAAAAACGGAGGATTTTTCGGAGCGACCTAATATATTGGGTCGGTCCGAAAGTTCGTGAAGTTATTCAGACCATGCTTGAATAGCTTAAAATGATGAATGAACGCTCTAAACAATGCTCTATGCAGGACTTCTCTCTGTTTTTTCTAATTACGTTTTTGTTCAGAGTCCTTTGATGGCCGGCCAAGTGAAAGGCAGAATCTCCAACCTATGGTTTTTACCCGTCCTGAGTTTGGGTCTTTTAGAACTCCTTAAAACTATTAACTTTTACAGTAGCTTTGAAAACGTTGCATAGAATATACAAAAATATACAATACATTTTCCTGGCATCTCTAGCTGGCTTCTCAAAATTTTTGGATATATTTTTCTGATGCTATCAAATTCCATATTTGACATCCCAATCCTCACAAAACAATAAACTGCGACAACCAGGGTATGATGCAGCTTTTTCTCCTCTTTCTGATAACTCCTTTCCTTTCTGATCTGTATAATGTTTGAGGACAAGATCACTGAGTTCTTGTTCTCAGATTGTCCCAGGATTTGAACAGAAAATTCGGAATCCTGTTTTTTTCGAACCGCTAAACCTCAATTGCTTGTTAAAATAAGCACTAAGTAATAAGCTGTTTTTGGAAGGCTCAAATTCCGAAGATTTATCGGTGTTTGAAGCAGTTGTGTATTTCACGACGCAAAAGTAAAGGCTTTTGTGAAATCATTGTAAGAGATAACGAAAGTTTAGAAGAGACCAAAATAGTTCTTGTTTGCCTTTGTTCATTCTCTCCAAATGTTATCAAAACTAATCCAAAAGTGAAAATGGAAATTCTAAAAAACAGCCGAAATGATGGGTAAAAATAGGTATGTTGAAATTTCTGAGATTACTTGAGCTGACATCAAAGAATTCTGAATAAAAACATAACGGTTAGAAAGAATAAGAAATTCTGCATCGACAATGTTTAGTGCGTTTGCAGGGCCCGGCACAGATCGCCTGGAAGCAGCTGGACTTCGTTTTTGAAGCAAACAGGGAAGGGGACATCGTTTTTGACGAGTCGGAACCGAGCACCAAGAATAACCGCCATTTAGTCGAATACAAGCTTTTCGGACAGGTTATCACACGATTGACATGCTTTATCGTGCATGGCGAAAAGTGCGCGCGATTTGAAAGCAGGGCTTAAATAAACAAATTGCTTGTTTACAGCGTACACAGAAGCATATGATACCAAAATTGAACTGTATGTACAGAAAATTATTTGCGGAAGTATTATGTAAGAAGATTTGGAAATTTATGTGAAGTAATACCTTTTCCAAAATTAGATCGTCTCCAGACGGCCACCAGACGATCTGAGATCGTCTGGAGCATATATTTTCGTCACTTCACATAAGTTTCGGATCTTTTTGGCATGGACGGATTCTCCGGTCAGAAATCTGTGCCTGAGCATGAAGACATTTTCATATCAATGCCTTTCCTTTGTTTTTTTTCATTTCTTCTCGCTATGTTAAATATCGCGCTCTAATGCCAAAGTCTTGTGCATGTGTAGTATTCAGCTCCAATTTGGATTTTCACTCTTATCTTACGTCTTTTCTTTCAAGCCAGTAAATCCTTCTTGTTTTCATCTTCTCCTAAGCAGGTAGGTCAAAGGGGACTTCGTAAAACTTCCGAAAGTCAGGGGAGACTTCGTTTTCAAAAACCCTAGAAACGACTCGTGCCGGGCCCTGTGCGTTTGTCTATCTTCATTCTAAGTGGTTTAAGCATGGGTCTGAAAAACGGCACGAACTTTTGACCGATTCAATATAGCAGTGTACTTAATATACCTTTGGTTCGCAAAGGTCAGCACTGTTCGGTAGTAAGGTTAAGGGCCGGCTATGTAGAATAAACCCTCTGCACAAATCCAGGATATTCATGGCCAGCTTTAGAAAAACACTTCCCACCTTTGGGCCAAGTTCAAGCGCAATCTGTGGTTTTGACAATAGGTCGTTATCGAGCTACATAACTATATGATCGATCAGAATAGAACTTGTTAAATAGATACGAAAGCAAAATCGCGGAGAGACAACGCATGCTGGTAAAATTGAACTAATTTTCAAATCCTAGACAAGACAACAGCCGTAAAATCTAACACCTTTATAAAAAAATCTCAAAAGGAAGTTTAATCTCAGCGATATGGCGTCGTTAGTTTGAAATTAGCGACGGGATTTCGCTGAGATTCGATCAAATCGCGCGAGGATTTCGACAGGGGAAGCATGCCCTAGAAAAGAATGGCAGGCTGAGGTCGCATCGGAAACTTATCACGACCGAAGTGCAAGATGATATTACGCAATGGAATGGTAACGTTGCGTTTTGGGAGAATCGCGAGACGAGATCGCGTGATGTATGCCCCCTTCACGCACTTGTCTCGCAAATCATTGGTCTATGCAGCGAGAAAGTCCTGATTGAAAATGAGCCGAACTCGCTAACAGGGCCTTACATGTTGCACGGTATATTGAATCATTTTTCACTAAAGTTTCAAACCAACTCCACAGACTGACAGATTATCTGTTCATTATAAGTCACCAGTGCGTCACCTCTGCTTCGCAGAGGCTCGCACTGGCCCAACTTTCTGTATGACTAACCCATTCCCGCATAATAATGACATTGAAACACCAAGCCATGCAGGCTATCGTGAATGATTTTCAAACAACTACTCATTCCTTGAGCTTTCATGTGTAAGATAAGTATTTTTCCATGGATGAACTTTTCCGAGAAGAACTAATGCGAATTTGAATTGGGTTTCAAATTTTATATGGCCTGATAGTCGCCATAACGACAATAATCACCGTGGGCTACATTTCTGTGCACAAATCTTCTCAAACGATCAGTTAAAATCTTGACAAATTAAACATTTTTTCGTAAACTATTCAACTTCAGTTCAATTGTTTGGGTTAATGCCCATGGCTTGCACATTGGTTTGTCAAACAAATCCATGAATTCGCAAAAAGTGTACCGGCCCAATTTTGCTGGTCAGAAGCCAAGTGGATCCGTTTGACGCGCAGTTTTCAACGGATCTGCTCATGCTTTTGCATGGTGGGCTTTCATGCAGGTAGCGTGCGCTATGCAAAATTTGGGCTTAGGACCAAGATCAAGCGTGTGGTGCGGCACGCCATACCTGGGGGGTCGTATTGAGGAGTCAAAAGGGGAGGGGGTCGTAGTTGGGTAATCTGATAATAGTGATAACATGATATTCGTACCATATCCATAATCAGCATGTCAATTAACCCCTGTAGACAAAGTGTGAGCGAATTCTGAAGATTCAAGATACTAGGCTACCTATGTAAATGAAATGGTCAAATTCCAACATGGTTAACTTTGATTCAAAGGTGAATTAGCTATCCGTCTTTGCATTCAAGACAAAGCACTAATCCTTATTTGTCCACCTCAGGAATCCCGCTTCAGAAGACCTGCAAACTGTGGAGTTAGAAGCAACCAAAATCGCTTTGGAAATCAAACCATTTTTCGCTTTGGATCGCTGTGCTTTCACCAAATATTACTTAGAAGTAAGAAGACGAATCAGGCTTCAACAGTCCTTTGGAATCTAGAAGGTTCAGGCTATCGATTCATATAAATACTGTCCGCTAAAAATGTTTTTTTTTTGATATAGTTAATGGGGTGCGGCACACCCCCTTAACTTGCCTTCAAAATCCAGGAAGCGCTCCATTGCTGGTTTGAGTATTGAGCACATAGCTTCTTCTTGCTACGTTGGAAATATGGAGCCGAACGCCCCACCCATAAGAAAATTATGGCCCTTTCAATATGCCCATTCAGATCAAAATCAGCCGTCAAATTACGTGTGATTGTAAAGAGCAGTCACAGAAAATCGGGCGTACAGCTCTCAGAAATCTGAAAACTCTTTGGAAAAAGATGTGTCTTCCAGAATGTCACACTTTGAGATCCAGAGGTTAAGAGGAGGAAGAAGGGGTCGTTTGAGGGCTTTCATGGGAGTGGGAAGGGGGTTTCGAAAGACTTGTGCCTGACCTCTTTGTCAACTCTGGTAATGCTATCTTAGGTATATAGTTCCGGGTGGGGTCTTATTAAGTCAGCAATCAGGGGGGGGGTCGTAACCAGCAATCGTGTGCCACACCCCTTGCTTGACCCTGTTTAGGACATTGGCTGGAACACGCTCTACGAATTTCGTAACGGACAGATAGACACACACACAAAAAAAAAAACGTAAGCACCCTTAGCCCGTTATTATAAGTCATGATGATGCACATCGAAACTGTATGTTATGAATGATGGTAGCGATCACTGCTTCTACTATAATTACAATGACGAAATCAGTGTCGACAACTTACTGCAGAATACTCTAAACTTAAGTGAGTTCCAGAGAAAAGTTCACAGATTTTTTGACATTTAGAGTGCTCTGAAGTTTCATCTTTTTCTATACTGGCTTATCTGCTTATTTTCTATGATGGAAGAGCAACATGGTGATTAGCAAACTGTTTCGACTTTCAAGCACTAACTCTTTACAGGACTGCACACATTACGGGTCATGCTGGTTGCTATGTCAATAGTGTTTGCACTTTTAGCTATGATAACTGGAACAGCGTGCTTTTTCTACCCATTCCTATTCGTAGTCGTAAGTTATCCCAGTGGATTCAGACATAAATGTTAACAAGAGAATTAGAAATTGCTGAAATCAAGAACTTTTTGACCACTGTTTCTGCTGAATAAATCTCTTGGAATTCCATAAAGAAAACATGTTTTTGTTTTGACAAGGGAAGGAAGGTTGGTCGAAGTGGCCTTCTGAAATGGGATGTACACTATCTTGTAGAGATTGGAACGCTGATTCCAAATCTACCTTTGCTATCTGCTGCGGGCTTCTGGATGAGGAGTTATGAAGGTTTCCGTGAGTAAAAATTCAAATGCAAGATTAGTATAAAATCAGCTCGCAAGGTTTTTTCTGACCTTCAAACGAGGCAGCAGCAAACTGATACATTTGACTCGAAATACTTGTTGCACCGAGTGACCTGACTATTAGTTGAGCTCTAGAAAAAATGTTACGACTGATTTAACAAATTGGAAATTCTGCATTAAATTTTTCTCACAAAAACCTTCATCTCTTTGGATCAAAAGCCCGCAGTAGATAGCGAAGGCAAATTTGGAATCAGCGTTCCAAGCTATATAAGATAGTATACATTTCATTTCAAGAGGCCACTTCGACCAACCTTCCTTCCCTTGTAAGCACGACTTTACCTTATTGACATGAGGTTGACGATCGGTGATAGGGTTAACAAAGGATCCCGCAGGATGGAAATGGAAATTCTGATGGAAGGATACTTGGTCTAACTGGCCACATAGAAAGAGATGTATATGAACACGTAGTCCTTGAAACGCTGATTTCAAATCCATCTTCGCTGTCTGCAAAGCGTACATGTGAATGAATTAATCCTGATTCGTTGCGTGATACCAATCCACTCACAACTACTATGTCCACTGATGGATTCCTTGCCACGCTTTGTATAAAAGAGTTCGTTCCTCGCAAAGGCTCGTAATTTCTTTCACAGAAAAGCTTTTCAAATAACGAAGATAGTTTTGAGATTAGCTTTCCAAGAACTACTCATCCAATTAACCATATATTGAGTTGTTTCAAAAGTTCCACACGTTTTCGTAGCCCTTTCTTTAAGTGCAAATTTTGAGGGAAAAACTATTTTTTGAGAGGCCTGCTTTTATCATCTAGAGGCTCTTTCATTTTTTCTATAAAGGCTCTCGTTTTTTATAAGACTTTGTTCAACTTGCGGATCCTACTTCAAAGGACAACAAAGCAAATGTAGAACTTTTTCTTGTTAATCTATCTACATAACCCCAGTAAGCAAAAAACATATTTTCTGTAAAATGCATAATTTTACTACGGACTTGTGCTAGTCAATGAAATGGGTTTTGAGTCTGAGAAATACTTCACCCTGAAAGTTTTGAGAACATAACATGTCGTTGCATTCCTTTACGTCGCTAGAAATCGCGAGAACAATGCGATTACGAAACTTTTCGCTCTATAGTACAAGATTGGGCTTAGTACATTCTGATTTGCAAATTCGAGCAAATTGCTCCCGTTCAGCAAGTAAAAAATTGAATTCAGAAGCTTGTGTTTTTTGTCATTCTAAAAAGGACAACTTGAGTAGTTTTTTTTTTATTTTAACAATATTTTTTTTTGAAAATTCAACAAAATCAAGGTGATTGCCGCTCAGCCAACCATTGGTTACCCACGAGCAGAGTTTGTGCATTCTTTTCACAGTCCGGATTGAGTTATGGTTCTTAAGAGAATTTTAAAAAATCACTGTTCGGCGATTTTCAACCCATAAATTTTCTTGTAGTTGCTGAATAATTTCGGGTATTCATAGATTTGCCATGGTTTCGTAGCTAGTGACACTTTTGCACTCGCAATGATCAGTTCTGAGAAGTGTTATGGAGAATTGGAGATAAACTTAAAAGCAAACTACAACTCTTCCCATGTGGTCAATTTAGCTGAGTATCCTTCCTCTGTGAAATCAGCACTCATTATCGACTTCAACAACATATCTCTCGTCTTGGATGGTGCAGGACAAGGTGCTTTCCTTGTTGAGCAATAATGTTAATGTAAAATTAAGTTTTGCAAGTACAAACCTACCATGCAAAATATGGACTTTTGGGGCAGAAAATCGCTTTCCATTTATCGCTAGAGAGCACATGGTAAAGGCCACTGCGTAACGAAGGCGTAGAAGCGGTATTAATTGACCGGGCGCTAACGCGGCGCGCGCTGTTGTAAATTCCGTGCCTCATGCGCTCTGCGGTTAATGAAGCCGCGTTTCCAAAGATATTGCGCCTTTGTCTGCAACAGCGTATCGATGGTTTATGAGTTTTTAAGAATAGAGCATAGCATGCTACAGAGAACCAAACTACAAGGATGTCGTAAAGTTGTCTTCCCTTTCTAAGTCGTACCGGAAATCTGAAATATCATCAAATGCGCCGATAAGGTCCTCTTTCTCTAAAAACAATATTTTTCGAAAAATTATGGGGTTTGAAAGTTTGAATCTGGCAACCATTCACTGCCAAACATTTAACGAGTACGGTAAATGCTTATTCATAAATCTTTGAAATGTATTTTTTCTTAGTAGTCAGTGCACTCAATCGCACGCCAATTACGCTCTTCTCAGCTGGGCTCAAATGCACATCATTCTCATTGGAACTCCAGCGACTTCGCTATTCAGAAGCTCATAACTTCTTTTTGAAGAATAGTTCGAACACATTATGTAGATCTGGAATCAGAGGGCAACCTGCGGCTCTTCCGATGTCATCATGATTGGCAAGACTAAAGGGCCGGGCATAGTTCACGCGATTTGGCAATTCGCCAAAAGTCTTCAGATCCAACAGCAAACTGCACATGCATAGTGTGTATAGCTTACGTGGATTGATAAATTGCCCTGTCTTCTGTACATTTATAATGTGCTTACAATGAGTTATGGACACCTGAAATATTGCGAAATCGCGTTGCGACTGAAATCGCGTGAGGTATGCCCGACCCTTAACCATTCAAATATCATTCACTGGAGAGATTGCAAAGAGCTGGTTTGTCGCTTGTAGCTAACGTACTTTCATATTGACCATCAAAATCTTTAATTGTAGTAATTCTTTCTTTATCAGTAGGAGAGCAAATGAGTAAACAATCGGGATTCACATCAAATAATTTACGGTGCAAAGTCTTGACCTGCTGTAAAACGAAACTGCATAACGTGAAACAATGTTAATGCGATTGAGAACGGTGATTTCAGATATTCGAACTTGTAAAATCATTCATTTTCTTCTGTCTGCTTACAGTCAAAATGTTTTGGCCTCAGCGTTATACAACCATAATGCATGCAAGAGGTAGGTAGACGAACGATTAGGTTGTATTAGGTTGTAAAGAAAGTTCCGGGGCACTTTTGGAAATTTCATTTTCTGACGCATTTTTCTGGCGCTCGGTCGGACTTTGACACAGAGTCTTTTATACCGTGAGGGAAGCCTATACTTTTCAAAACCGCTTCCGATTTTCAGCGATGCCAGAACATGTTTGATCTACAAATCAAAAAAAGGAAATCTTCCCACCCATAAAAATTTCACAATTTTTTTTTCTGTGGCCATTTATTTGTGCAGTTCGAGGAGTGTCGTCCAAATCATGGGTGATCTGATTGAGAGCCCGCTAACTTCTAAGTGGCAGCTGCACTTGAGTTTCGCGGTCTGCGCTCAGGAATTACGAGCTGTCGAACTTGCACCTGACTGCATCTCTTTTCGCAGCTGGAGTCGCTTCTGCAGGGATCGCCACGCCTGGATGATGTGTCCAAAAAATGTGTAAGGCATTACTCCAACAATGCTCGCAGTTATCAAAGATTTGGTCCTTTTTGTGCAGAACCAGAAGACTTCAATTCACTTACTCGAAAAATGTAGTCTAGGGCAAAAAATGATTGATTTTTCAAATTTTCTGGAAAATCTTTATTTGCACACTGGTCGCTTGAAGACTTAAATAGTTTCCATAATAGCCCCAGCGGACTTCTATATAACTACAGCATCTGAGCTCTTCAGCTCTCACCATGCCTGAGATAATCCTACAAATAGGCTACTTTTTGCGTCGACCTTTTTCTCTTCTGCGCATGCTGGTGGTCCGCAGTGAAGTGCTGAAAAGCCAACAAGGTATATATTGTAGACAAAATTGTCTTTGCAATGGAGTTTGTAGCTCTGAAGAAGATTCAGTCTGCTTGATGTTACAGCGACTTGAAAAATGATTTTTGCAAGTGCCCCGGAACTTTCTTTACAATCATAACTTAATAATAACGCGCTAAGGCCGTCTGTTTTTTTGTGTGTGTGTCTGTCTGTAAATCTGTCTGTCACGAAATTCGTAGAGCGAGTTCCAGCAAAGGTTTTGAGCTAGAATTTTGGTGTTAGCACCCTATCAGCATGTAGGTAAAATGTGCAGAAGCATAAGCCGATCCGATAATTGGAACCTGTGAAATTGTGCGCCAAACGGATCCACGCGGCATTTCGCGCGCCAAAGTGGGCCTTTGATTAGACTTTTTCCAAAGTCATGGTTTCGTTTAGCAAGCAAATCCGCAAACCATGGACTCCAGCCCGAAAAGTGAGCAAAAAGTTTACTTTCATGCAAGATCGGCGCCAAAAAGGAGTAATTGCGTAGATGATCGATTTGTTAAAGTTTTACTTGAAAATGTGAGAAAATTCTTGCTCAATTATGTCACTCACGGTTGGCATCATCTTTATGACGACTATCAAGCCATTATAACCCCAGTGACTGATTCAGAATCGCATTTGATCTTTTGGAGAGCACTTTCTTTCCCTCAAAGTCACCAATCTTACATGAAAAAACTTTGGGAATGAGTAGTTGTTCACACTTCATTCATGATGATCTGCATCGTGAGGTAAGTTTCAAAGTCATCATTTTGGGACAACGAGGAAGGCATGTGAATAGTGGAGCCAGTGCGAGCCTCTGCGAAGCAGAGGTGACGCACTGGTAACTTATAATAACGGGCTAAGGATGTTTACGTGTTTTTGTGTGTGTGTGTGTCTGTCTGTCTGTCACGAAATTCGTGGAACGGTTGCCAGCCAACATCTTAAGCCCAAATTTTGCACAGCGCATGCTACCAACATGAGAGTCCACTATATCAAAGCTTGAGCGGATCCGTTTAGCAGATCCCTCAAAAAATGCGCGTCAATCGGACCCACCTGGCTTTTCGTCCCCAAAATTGGGTCCGTAATTCCACTTTTTGCAGGCTCGTGGATGTTTATGGCAAGTAAATGTGCAAACCAGGAACTTAGGCCCAAAAAAGTGATCAAAAGTCCACTACTTTACAAAAACGGCGCCAAAAAGTATTGGTTGCGTAAATGGTCATTTTGCCAAGCTTTTACCAGAGCATTTGATGCGATTTTTGCACCTAAATGTAGCTTATGGTGACTACTGTTCTTATGGCGACTGTCAAGACTGTGGAAAAATCAAAAACGTACAAAATTTTGCTTTGCTCTCCTGCAAAAAAATTTCATCCACGCGAAATCACCGATTTCACATGAAAAAGCTTTCGGAATGAGTAGTTGTTTACATTTTGTTCATGATAGTAGGCATTGCTCGGTGAGTTTCAATGTCATCATTATGCGAGAATGAGTAGGGCCTAGATAGTAGAACCAGTGCGAGCCTCTGCGAAGCAGAGGTGACGCACTGGTCTAATAATAATCTGGCAAAAGTGAAGACTAGAGACAGCGCTACTGTTACTCAGTTGCTGATTGCTAATGAACGGAACGGTTACTTGTGGACGCTAACACTGTTTTTAGGCGGAGGACTCAATTTACTACTATTAGAGAGGGCCAAATTGAGGTCTGAAGACGACGAGTTTGTTTACTTATGGAGCGGATTCGCCTGCTTCTATTATGCTTTGCTGACCGTGACTGTAGTCAAGAACATCGCCGATTATCAAACAAATGAGGTATGCTTTTCCGTCCGCATTGTGGAATTTATTCTCTTTTTCAGTCAGAAAGCAGACTATCTCTGGAGAGGTGCTGAATTTCGCGTCTTTCAGTAAGAGTTAATGCTTAGTAGGTATCCCATGGACCTAATGACATGCCTACACAACAAAAAAAAAGGGGTACTCGTGGGTAATGTCTGCTATATCACCCGATCATCAAGATACCACCTTGATTTTACGAGTAAAAGACAGTGTTTTTCTCTCTAAACTCAATCAGGTCCAACACATCAAAGCATTTCCCAACCAAGGATTTTTTATTGTACCGCGTCGCACCTACGAGAATAGTGCGAGAGAGCGGTCGTTCCGAAGGGCACAGGCAGAGCCCAGCGCGAGGATGGCAACTGGACATAGGTGAAAGGCTCCGCCTTTGTCATGATCAATTTTTACGATTTCCAGCTTGATCCCGCCAGCTGCATAGGCTGTTCGATTGAAGCGCGCTTTCTTCAAATAAGACCTGCGTTGTTGCTATTTCAAGCCTTTACAAGGAGGAGAGGAGGAGCTTGAGAAAGAAAATGTTACTATACACTAAACTTGAGGTGCAGAGCAATTTATGTAAATATCATGAAAAACTTATGTGAAGAAATTTTGCCTACCATAGGTGGGCTTAGGTGGGCAATTATCCACCTAAATTGGAAAAAAGTCAAGCGCGCTCTTCAGTCACATAAGTTTTTTATAATTCCTCATTCTTTGTTCCTTAATCCAACAGAGACCAATTTTGTGCCACATAGTCATATGTGCGTTGCGAAAGAGCCTTTTTTCCATTTTTGTCAGTAAGAAATTTTCAGGAAAAAGCTTGCCAGAACCTTCATTCACATACTTTTTGCTAAAACTTCTCATTTAACTCCTACAAGTCCATGCCCATGTAAATAGATACCAAGTTCTGTATCATATCATCACTGTATTGCAAACGAGCCATTCTAGATTACATCTTCACTTGCCAGTTAGAAAATTTTTTTTTGAAAAAAGCTTAGTACACCATCCATTTATAAAAATTTTCATAATTTTGATATTCTGTGCCCATTAACCTACGTGCGTTCATTTTCGCAATTAGGTGCCATATCTTTAAGATATTGAGAACTAATCATGCATGAGGTTCCAACTTGCGCCAGCTAAACGGCTTCGCGCGTGCGGCCATCAGCGACGGCGAGAGATCTGAAGCGCTCCAAGCCACTCTGTGGAAGAAGTGCCTAGATTTGTTTGCCATTTGAACCGACAATTTTTTCGTGGCTCTGTTCCAGACTCCGCGTGACGTATCACCTTTGCTTTTTTTTCACATAAAGCGACTTCCAGTTCGTCATTTGCCCACTTCTTGCCGGTCTCTGGGCATAGCTATGCAAGCTGCACGCAAGTGCACCTTTCACTCGCGGAATTAGCGTACTTACTCATGTTCGAAGAATGTTCAGCTATTGACGTGTTGACCATTTTTTCATTTTCCACATGATAACTTTTTTACACCTTGCTCACAAAAAATCCGGTTGTTATGTGCGCCTTGCTGGAGAGCTAAAAGTTTTTACTTGGCCAAAAAAATCACTGCCAAAATGTCCAGGTGTCATTATGGGTCTGATTATAGCATGTGTTTACAACATAAAATATAGCATAGCTCACTTTTTGCTTCCGCAGGTTTACGAAAAGATTATTCTCCACCTTCATGCACACCCAGCTGCGTTATAAAACTTTCCAGAAGATTTTGTGATGATTGCCGTTATGCATTTATGTTGGTACGTTTGCGCTGTACATACGCTGCACATATGTATGGTGCGTACCCAGGATTTCCATTCGGGGGCACCGGAAAATTTTTTTTTCGTAAGGCTAAGTTGAATTTTTAGAAAATTCCACAAATTACACAAATTATTTACAAGTATAAACAAGCAAGTCGCTTGACATTTTTATGACTCATATAAGTAACGCTCAAGAATTTCGCGACCCATCCTCGCTTCCTCTCGGTACACCACTGGTATGGTATAGTAACGGAGTACATGGTTCAAAAGTAATATCGAATTCACCAACTCTGTTAGGTCATTGTTTTTTGCACTACGTTGAAAAGCTTAGGTTGACTTAATCTTATTGTTAGACTTGACGTATCATTTATCGTACTACATTATTATAGAATTGTCATGTGTATTTACAAGATGCTTTTGTGCCACTGGAAACCGATCTCGAGAGATATCCGAAAAAGCTACTGTATCACTATCTTAAAAGTTGCATGCTGTATATATGAGTGACCTTGATAATGTTAAATCTATGATTAGCGATCCCTCCTACACAAAGTGAATTTATTTGCTGACCCTATTTTAATTTTCTGTTTATTTTTGTACTGTTGACATCTACTTAACTTAACCTCCTTGATGACCACGAGTTGAACAACTACTTCAATAATTGTTTTGGAAAAAAGAAGCCCATTTATGTCTTTCCTTAACCTTTTGAAAAGAAGAATCCTATATTTACTAAGAAGCTTGACGTTTTTCCATGTATTGAAAAACGAAGAATAAAACACCACTAAGGTGATGACAGAAAGTCTACCGTCGGAGGGAAAAGGAAGCCGCGAGTAGCAGGGCAGCGATTTCATCCAATGCCAGAATTCGCTCCTCCGACAGCGGCAATACTGTAACATGCTCTATGGTGTAAGTTGACTGCATGAAATCGTTCGGATCGCTGTAGGCTGAACGCACGCGAGCTGCCTGCAACGCGGCTGCCGAGTACGGGCGCTACGATGACTCATGCCCGCGGATGCCAATGTTAGCCCGCAAGAGACACGCTCGCAGGCGTTCAGCCGGGTCGTTTCCGTGCAGTCAACTATACGAAGAAAGTCAGATAGGAAAGTATAATAACAAGGTGAAACATTCAAAGACACGGAACTGAGTAAACTACTGTTTTTTGGTTTTTTGGTGGTGTGCTCTGGACGCGCAACATTGTGCGATTGAACAGCGTTGCTGTCACCATTCCATTCTGAAGGGCTGTAACCAAAGTCGAGAAAGAGGTCAGGCACAAGTCTATTGAAAACGACTCTGCTGTCACCTTTCAACTTTAAGGGGTTGTAATCAGAGTTGAGCAAGAGGCCAGGACAAGTCTATCAAATACGACCCTCCCCCCTTCCCCTGAAAGCCTCTAACTAACATCTTCTTCCTCCTCTTCACCCCGAAACCTCAGGATGTGATATACCGGAAGATATCATCCTGTCTCGGAGAGTTTTTGAATTTTCAAAGTCGTAAGCCGGATTTTCTTGCACCTTACATCGTACGTAACTTGACGTCGCAATGTGATCCGAATGGATCTACTGAAACAGTCATAATTTCCCCAAGGTAGAGGTGTTCAGCTCCAAATTTCCACTGTAGCAAAAAGAAGCTATGTCTTCATTATCAATACCAAAAATGCGATCTTGGGATTTTTAAGGCAAGAGAGGCTTCAGGAAAGTGACAAAGCGATGGGAAACGAACACAATACACCATGTGTGAGAGAAAAATCTAAACCTCACTGTTCACGCCGCAGTGGAACAGTATTAAAATTTTTTGATGGCAACTGTAGCGCAGTGTTATTTTTTAAGCTTTTTTAGCTGTGTGAGAAGCAGACATAGAAGTGAAAAGCTTAGGAATTTAGGTAATCGAAAAGATAGCGACTGACATATGTTTTTAAGAATCATCGTCACAGAAATCCATTCGCAATTCCCGATGCACCGCGATATCCTCAAGTTGTTATACTTCCTGCAGAACCAGAGCTCGGAAACACTAATCCGGACGATCCTCCGCCATACTCGGTAAGCTATTACTTATTAGGCTACTGCTCAACTTGCTTCAATGTTCGAGGTCAAAAATTACCGCACTATTGAGTCATCTTAAATTTTTCGTTTTTCAGCCTTTGACATTGATGCCATATTTTGTAACTGTCAAGGGACTGATTACCGTATACGGATTCACAAAGAAGATTATACTGTTTTTGCGGGTTGCACCAAACATGCAAAAACATCTATATAAAAAAATTTATTCTTTGAAGTTGACATAGAAATGCTTTCGTCAAGCTCAAACCCAATTGTCAGGTAGTTAAAGGGCAGAACCCAGCATGAGGGCGGCAAATGTTTCTTCCTCCATTAAAAATTGGTAGATCGGTAATGGTGCATTCTAACAACTCTCAAAAATGTGAGTGGTTGGGCGCCGGGGTTTCTATTAGGATTCCACATAAGTTCCACTTGGAAATCCATCAGGTCCAATGTGTCGAAACCGTCGGATTTCATCGAAACTTTGCGCAATAGGATAATTTGACAAGGTAAACAATTTGAAAAAGTGCAGCTTATACATCTAAAAATAGGGCAATTGCTTTCGTTGATCACATGATAACAATTATAACGCCAAAAAGACAAAAGTTATCAGAAAAAGTTGCATAACTTATGTTCCAACCTAATACTTATCCATCAAGCTCAGATCTTCCAAAACCAATCAGCATCAAGTCCACGTCCTTGAAGCCTATCAAAACACAAAAGGGCATAGCGAATAAGCAAGTTGAAAACGACTTCAATCCTAATTTCTCTGAAACCTGCGCACGTGCAAAAAGGATAAGTATTGGAGTTGGCAGAGATGCCCTGATACACAATAATGCTCATCCACCATAGCCTATAATGACGGGCAAGGGTTGTTTGCTGTGTGTGGTGTGTGTGTGTGTGGTGTGTGTTGTGTGTGTTGTGTGTGTGGTGTGTGTTGGTGTGTGTGGTGTGTGTGTGGTGTGTGTTGGTGTGTGTGGTGTGTGTGCGGTGTCTGTGGTGTGTGTGTGGTGTGAGTAGTAGGTGTGGTGTGTGTGGTGAGTGTGGTGTGTATGTAGTGTGTATGTGATGTGTGTAGTAGGTGTGGTGTGTGTCGTGTGTGTGTGTGTGGTGTGTGTGTATTTGTGGTGGTGTGATGTGTTTGTGGTGTGTGTGTGTGGTATGTTTAGTCCGTGTAGTATGTGTGGTGTGTGTGTGGTGTATGGTGTGTGTGTCACGATTTACAGAGCAAGTTCCAGCAAGGGTTGTCTTGAGCTAGAATTTTGCCCACATCACCCTGTCAGCATATAGATCAGTTGTACAAAAGCACAAGCCCATCTGATAAGCGGAACCTTTGAAAAGTGTGCGCCAAATAAATCACGCGGTTTTCAGCACAAAACTGGGTCTAAATTCAGACTTTTTGCAAAATTATGGATCTCTTTGACATATATTCTTCAAGCCGTTGACCTCAGTTCAAAAAAGGATCAAAAATCGCAACCTTTTCCGAGAACGGCGCCAAAAAAGATGATTGCGTAGATGCTCGTTTTGTAAGGGTTTCACTTAAGGAAAAGAATTTTGCTTAGAGATTCAAGTCGTGAAAGACGTTGTCATTGTAGCAATTATCACGCTATCGTAGATTCGGTAATCATTTCAAAATCGTATTCAATTCTCGGCACAGAGATTTCCGCTCTCAAAATCACCAATCCCATGGAAAAGCCTTAGGAATGGGTAGCCGTTTACCATTTATTCGCGATGGCCAGCATTGCATGGTGGCTTTCACAGTCATATTGGGTAAGCAGGAGAAAGGCGAAGATGGCGGAACCAGTGCGAGCCTCCGCGAAGCAGAGGTGATGGTGAGGCGAGGTGGTACATATATGAAACCGAGTGATGGTGAACTGTTAGTTTAGTGTGTTGTGTTTTTTATAGCAACTTTTGTGTGCGAACCGATCAGCGCCAAATTCTGCACGCGTGTGCTTCCGAAACAGATCCACCGCGTAGGCTACTTTCGGCGAAAAGCTCACTCCTTTTATTGCTTATTGATTTTGGAGAAAAATGAACTCTTATCAAGTATTATCAAATCGCTTGCAAATTCCTTGTAAACAATAGCGGTAGAACTCATTTCCATTCCAACGTGAGGGAGATGCGGTAATTCACGGCGGTGCGGTCAACAGGTTGTGTTCTGTTACCGAGAAACAGAAGGAAGCCAAAACGCATATAAGTTGAGTCTATAGAGTCTCTTTACACACCAAGTTTCCTCTTTGTTGAGCCAGTTGAACGCACGATGCAGGCGAAACTGTGCATGTCAGCTAGTTTTAATAAAAGTCTGCTTTTTAGGAAAGTTATGCCTTTTCAAAACTAAAGGTTCAAAAACGGAAACATTTTTTGGATGACCTAATAGTTAGATTTCATCTCAAATACGGTTATGACATCAGTCGGATACTCGGCAAAGGGAATGGGAGCTAACGGAGTTATGGAATATTGGAAGGGTGTGCCCGTGTTTTGAAAATTTTTTTCCACAGGAAATGAAATTTTTCTTAAGCAAACAACTTTTATTACAAGGTATTGGCAACGCTAAACGACACCACATCGTATGCTTTATGTATGCAACTTGAAAGAAGAGACGAATGAAGAATTTTAGATAAATGTTGCAAAAACATTTCGCTCACTCTAACAAGGAAACAATACTTAATCGAAGTGGCGTTTCCATATGCGATGTATACTATCTTATAGAGTATTGAACGCTGATTCCAGATCTGCTTTCAATATCTGCAAAGCGCTTCTGGGAGGGGAGTTATGGGATCTTTTTTGAGGTAGAAATTTGATGACTTGGCTAAGATAAAAATAGGTGTTGAGGTCTTTCCGGCGCTTGAAAGGATCAGTGACTGACACGAGTTTATTAGATTGAAGGCCTTATTCCATAAAACGCCCTGGTGGTGGCCCCATTTGAACTCATGGACTAAGTTTCCAAATAATTTTATTGTAGCGGGCTTTCCAAATTTGCATAAAAAAAGCTTCTATAACTCCGCTCCCAGCAGCGCTTTGCAGATACCGAAAAAAGGTTTAAACTCAGCGTTCCGTGCTCTATAAAACATTATACATTTTGTATGGATATGCCGCTTCGACCAGGTTCCATCCCTTGTAAGTAACATGGATGGATAAGATAAAAAGATAAGCTCGCAAAGATAAGCTTCTACTTTTGCAGGCCATTGCTCATAGCGGAAATGGTGTGGAGACTGCGAAAGAAGAAACGCAACCACCTAACTACTCTGATTTAGAGGCTTCACCCAATAATATTCCTGAGTACGTGAGAACAACATCATGCATGCATTGAAAAGAATATAATTTCTAGGTTTCCGACTGCGAACCAACGAAATGTTTCAAATGGAACCGTAGTAATAGGACGAAAATAACTCTAAAACAAAATAACTCAAGTTATTCTCAATCGTTCTGTGTAGCAACGCTACCATATACTCGAGTGATTTGTTTTTAGTAAACATAAGCTTCGAAGCATGAATCCAAACGAATATGTCAATTCCAATTTCTTACATTTTCAGCGAGCTTGTGCCTTTTAACAGTGCATTAAGCAAAAAACAAGCTCCTGGCCAATGCTGGCATGATTAATGACCACTGCTACCGTTTGACTAACGAAAAAAGAATAAAGCGAAGAACTGCAAGAAAAAAATCAACTCACAAAGACCGTATGCACGCACATTTCACTGGAGCTGAGGGGGGAAGTTACTTGCTGCTTTAACATCTGCATTTTTCTTTTTCTTACTACATTATGAAGGTCCTCATATCCTAACATCTGAGCATGATAGGTTGCGGTTTGCCCTACAAGCTTAAATTCTCACTGCTTTGCGCATTTAGATGGGGAAATTACTACAGCATTAGCCTTCATTTTTGAAGTCGTCTAACCTCCCACAGACTTGGTGAAACCGTCGTAAAGTTGTACTGAGGATTGTTATGGCACTGCTAGGCAAGCTCGTGAAAAGTGAGTGAGATCTTACATTATTGAGATTTTCGATGAATCACAATATGCATACTATGATTTGTCGGGAAACTCACTACTTAATCTATTTATCTCCTCGAAAACATGCCCAGGGGAACAACAGTACCACAATTTAGTCTAGTACAAAGTTATAAGTCCTAAGTCTTTATCGAGAACAAAGGCTATCTATCCCCTGAGCAAGAGATAAACAATAATAATCTCAGCTTGTATCGCAATGTTCTACAATCCATAATATACAGATATCAGGTTATGACTTTCAGAAGATAGACAATGATAAATAATTTATATATGTAAAGCAGCGACGTGACGGCCTAAAAGTTAAAGCTTAGATCTTTTCTGTCAAAACTCGCGTGCATGAAAAAGCGATAAGAAACTATATATTGTAGAATTTCAAAAAAAATGGTAAAAATTCGTTGTTCATTGCCCTCCATGGGTGGGCGCCGAGCGCGTTCTACATCAAGTAGAGCATGCTCGTAAAAGCGTGTAAGCGACGATACGATGACTTGCAATAGTCAGTCGGAAATCATATCAATGCTATAGCCTTTCACAACATTTCCCAATAAAAGGGCTTGGTTGGTTGAGGAAGATCGAACTTATAGTGCGACCGGTCGTAGCCGCTCGAAAACGTTGCGACCGGAAGACGCTTTTCTTCCACAACACCAGATTTTAGCTATAAAAGGTAGAAAAAACATACTGAGGAACTATATACTTTGTAGACTTTTCTAAGGTTTGCATACATGTCCGTCTTTGCTGTAAGGAGCTATAAGGACGCCTTACATTCCAAAGTATGAAATCGTTCTCTGTTTTTTACTCATTTGCGATCTACAGCATATGATTGTGCCAAAAGTAAACTCATTTTCTGAATAAATCAGGCTGTTTTTGTTTTACTGTTAGACTTTGGGTACCACACGATAGAGCGAAGCAAGCTCTACAAAGTAGTCTCCAAAGATCCACATTCGCTATTCAAGGAGAAAGGAGCCAAAGAGCCAAACATCAAAATTTTCATACCCTAAAAATCGGATCTCCCATTAGAAAATTCTTACCGAGTTGTTCATTATCACAACGTGGCACTATCCAAAACTGCATTTGATAAATTTTTGCAGGCCTCGAATCTAAGTGACAAGAGTAGCCCGAAAAGGTAAATATGTCGCCGTTTTCAGGATTTTTGTGTTAAACTGCTATTTCTCGATCCAGGGCACACATAGAGGTAAAATCCCAAGGTCATACTTACTAAGGCTTGCAGTATGCAATCACATATGTGGGAGGAGCTGAGGGCGAAGTCTTCAATTTTAAACTATGGCCCGTAGTAAACCTCACTTCACTTCAGATGATCTCAACTGAGGAGCTGAGTTGAGGCATTTAAGATAAACTGACTAGCGGTCACTCTCACATGTTTAAGAATGCGACCTGATCTGAAAGGTTAGCGTCAGGGCATGTGCTGCAATGAATTCACCTGAAATCCGTAAGAGCAGCCTCGATTTTGAGATGAATTGACCGAAATAGTGTGCAAATGATGAGACGCAGAGAAAAATCCCGTAAGTTGCTTGTGAGTAACTTACGGGACATCGTACTTGACGTATTGTTGCAGTACAAAAACGCGCAAAACTGCACAATACCGGTGCCCAAAAAGGAAAGGATCAATGAATAGCTGATTTCGGCAAAAACAGAAGAATAGTTTAAAACTACTCGGTCGACAATCTCTTTATTTATTTCCATTCGATTTTGTCCCTACTTCCTCAATTTTTGATGAAATTTTGGTTGAGAAAAAGCAGTTTCGTTTTGTGCATTCATTTGGTTTGTGGATTCCTTGATAGCGGCCGTCATCGATTTTCTTCGATAGTGGTCGCTATCAAAGATTGCTCAGTGATGCGCAAAAATTCGCCACTGTCCGGCGCGGAACCACGATCGTGCGGGCTGAATACCAGTCATATACCTGTTTGACCAAACCTGCACAAGAGGTGTAGGTGTTTCCTCTTTGATAGCTCGCAAAATTTCTATGCCTGGAAAGCGATCCGCATCCAGATCAATAGCTCGCGGGATGCTAGACCGAGGCGCCATACGATCAACTCAGGTCCATCTCAGGGCAGATCCCCTGAAGGGTGGTTTATTACGGGCCTCTTTTTTTCGCGCTCTTTGCGTAAGGAAAAATCCACTGAAAGAATTAGTAAGTACTATGTGTCTATTGTATAGCGACCAAGTTAGAGGTCCGGAAAATTTTTTTTCGCAAAAGTCATAGATGAAAAAGTTTTTTATTTCGGTGGCTCCGAATTACGATTCGCGAGGATCTTTGATGCTGTTTTTGTAGAGCGTGCTTCCCTCTAGAGATTGGCATCCTATATCCGGCTGGAAAGCAAAAAAGTTTCATTTATTTAGAAAGAGTTTACTTCTTTGACAACCTAATAATACCACAGGATGATGGTTGACAGCGAATTGACGAGCTAAAAGAACATTATTTTGTGCGATCGCGTGCGGGATTTCTACGGAATAACGCTCTTCTATCTCTCCAAAAATCCAATAGAGCATTGCAAAGTTGTGATGAGAATCTAATATAACAATGCTAGGCATGAATTCGTCGAGACGGATGTTAGTTCTGATTTTTGGTAAACTGACTTGACTGATTTAACAGCCTTTATCGAAGTCATCGACATCCTAAATATCACTTCATTCGCTGGCCAAGCAGGCAAAGTTAGATTCACAGTACAATCTTACGATGTCTTATTGAGTCTGTATGAAGAAAGTAACTTTGAGAAAGAACAGTGGTCTTTTGCAAATTCCCAGGGACCATGGAAACAGCGAAAAATCGATTCGTATGGCAGTGATCTGTCATTTATCATGCTAAGGTATTAGGTTACTGATAGCGTCTCTGGAAGACCATGACTAATAGGGGTGGGGTTATGGGTGTTTATGGGCTGAGGGTGTTTACGTGTTTTTGTCTGCCTGTCTGTCTGTTTGTAACGAATTTCACAGAAGGAGTCGCAAGTCTCAAGCCGCAAATCTTTGCACAAACCACACTGCCAACTTCTAATTCACCATGCAAAAGCACGAGCAGATCCATGTAGTAAGTCTCTAAAAAATCGCACCTCAAGTAGATCCATTAAGGCAGGCGCTATACTCCTCGAGGAGTATAGCATGGCGACGGGCGATCGCCAGTCGCTAATCGATACGTATCAAACGTGTAGTCGCCGATATTGGCGATCTTTACTCTTCCCACTTCCATTTCAAAGTACTCACCAGCCGGTGAGGTCGACCTAAAGAGAATGAACTGCAAGACCAGTGATTTTCACATTCAACACTTAACGGTAACTTGTTTGGCGACGGGCGATCGCCAGTCGTAGCGACTGGCGATCGCCCGTCGTAGCGACTGGCGATCGCCAACATCGGCGACAAAAATCGCTGGTTTTACACGTATTTGATGCATATCGATCGTCGCCATGCTATACTCCTCGAGGAGTATAGCACCTGCCTAACTTCTGACGCGCAAACTTAAGTCCATATTACCATTTTTCGCAAGATTATGTTTACCTTTGGCAACGGAATGTGCAAGCCATGAAGTTTAGCCCAAAAAGTGATCAAAAGCCTATCACTTCACGAAGATGGCGCAAAAAGGACTGACTCTGTAAATGGTGAGCTTGCCAAGGTTTCAACTGAGCGTTCAAGGAAATTTTTGCACTGGGATGTAACATTTGATTCAACTGGCTTGGCACCATCAGGGCGGGGTTTTGTGATCTAATTGAGGCCGCTCGCGCCCGCGACGCATCTGCTTCTCTCGCGCGAGTGCTCTCTAATCATTACCTAGCCTTAATTAGGTCACGAAGCCCCGCCTTTGCCGATGCCAAGCTAGTTGAATCAGATGGTAGCTTAAGGTGAATGCTTGCTTTATGGCGACTACCTGGTCATGAAAAATTTGAGACTGAAAATTTGCATTTGTTCTTCTGCGATTAATTCCATCCACGCGCAATTTACTCTCACAAGAAACAGCTTTCGGAAAGAGTAGTTGTTCACAATTCGTGATAATGAGCAATGCGCGACAAGTTTCAATACTATTTCAAGCGAGAATGAGTCATGCAAGATAGTAGAACCAGTGCGAGCATCTGCGAAGCAGGGATGATACGCTGATAGATAAGCCGGTAGTATAAACTACTGAGAAATGGAAACATAAAGTACCCCCCACAACTCCCCTTCTCAGCGGGAATGCACTGGCATAAACGAGCGGGCATACATCACGCGATTCATCGAATTACGATTCTTCAGACACGACAACTGTTATGAAACCCATTGCAAGCATTTCGTTGTGATAGTTTTCCAATGGAAAGGTACAGTCCTTTCAATGGTTTGTGATCTCTATAAAAAGGAGGCAGGGTATTGAAGACAATTGACAACTTAGACATTTCGTTGGACCCTGTAATGTTTTGAAAATATAGCTACGCGTCTAATCTTCCACATGCCCTACCACGGGGAAAACCATAAAGGTCCTGCAATAGCGTGGTTGACATTGTTGGCAAAGTGACAAAGAAGATTTATCTTACCGCTGCTTATGAATTGATGTCCAGAGGTGCTGCATTAAACTGTGGGTATCATTTTTTTTAGGGTCAATGACTAACATACATCGCTTTCACACCTGAGATCCTCCCGACAAGACAACTGCTACAGCCTGCATGCCGATCACCTTGCATTTCGATTGTGATTCGCGATTAGTCGAGTCGGAAATCTATCACAATCGAAAACAAGATGATCGGCAATGCAGTAACTCGAGTTGGTTTGCTGGGAGAATTGCGAAGGATGAAATCGTGTTGCGTATGGCCAGCCCGTCAACCTTTGAGGCTCTGAGAACCTCCGCTCACGCAATTATTCCCATGCATGTATCAAAAACACATGAAGGTAATGAAAGTTCGGCGCTATTCCACATTAGTTGACCGAAAAAATAATAGTCGTGAATCTCGCTAAAACTTCGTCTAGGAAGATTATTTGGTACAATGAACACGAATATGATATTCATTTCGTGCGACAGCGCCATCCGGTGGGGATAATAGCATTACGGTAGGGAAAAATCACATATTTGTTCGAATCTTCGTCCTGAAGGGTTATTTGGCACGCTGAACACGAATATGATGTTTAGTTCGTGCGACAGCGCCATCTGGTGGGCTTACGGCAGGGAGGGAAGGGGGATATTTGGTATGCTGAACTTGGATAGATGCTTATTTTTAGCTAAAAGTTACGATGTCTAGACATGTACTTACAGTATTGGGCACGAACTTGTATTCGATAGCAAGAACGATGCCTTACGGTGTTAAGCGTGCCAAATAACCTCTCTGGACGAAGTTTCGGGCAAATCCGTGATTTTGATCCCTACCGTAATCCTACCGTAACTTCACCAAATGGTATTACCGAGCAAAATAAACATCATATTGGTGTCCAGCGTACCAAATAACCTCCCTAGACGAAAAAATTCACGATGCTCATTTTTTGGGTCAACTAATGTGGAATAGTACGCAGTTTGGCTTTGAATCATGCTGACTGAACGGTTAGCAAAAGCCAAACAAAAACACGATTTAGCGGAAAGCACAAAAGCACGAGCTGGCTTAATTCTCAAAAGAAACAACACATTTACATTTCAGCTACTCACCAGAATGCTAGAGCTTATAAGGAAAAAATACTTAGTTTTGATTGGGATTGTAATGCTTTTCAGTGATAAATGCTAATATAAGTAGGATGCAACTCGAAAATCAAACTACAAAGCGAAATCATGAACATTGAAGAAAAGCGAGTACCCAACGGGTCTTTGTAGAACCATTAGGCTATCTATCTTATGAAAGTTCACATAATCTGAGTGTAAAGGGTGACTGAATACCGCCATACAAACTGCGTTTTTCACTTTTCGTATCACCCCTAAGCATAGGTGCGACAGGGTGAAGCCAGGCTCTCTCCAGGTGAAGGGAGTCTTGACTACTTCCGCTCTTGAAGGGTGATGGGGATAAGTGAGTACCAGTAGTTCATTGCTGGGGAAGGGTTGGGAGTGAAGCGGTACCAAACCATATCAACAAGCAAACTTGCAAACGTAGAGGAACGTTTCTAAAGACAGGAAGGAAGTCCAAAAAGCTACAAACTATTCGAAAGCTGGACATGGAGAGTCGACAAAGGCCATCGATTTTTTCTAGGTCATCTGAGCCGTGAGATATGAAGAATTTCATTTGGCCAATGATTTGCTGTGCTCATTTTCTGCTCTCTTATGCAACGAAGATGAAGGCTACGAGAAAGTCGACATTTTGCTTTTATTGATGGATACCTGCTCCGTAAAATAGATAGATAAACAGCGGCAATTGGATTTTCATTGCGCAGAAATCTGCTGTTGAAAATGGACGTATTTTTAGATCAAATTCAGCGTATCTCTCCGTAAAATGGGACTAAAAAAGTCGACGGTCTACGTCGAATCCCCGTTTCCCAAACTTTCTAATGGTATATAGCTTGTTGGGAGATTTCGCTTCCTGGCGTCAAAAAGTTCTTGCTGGTGACGCATAAAAGCCAATACATTGAGGGGCGGGATGGAGCAGGCTATTAGTAAAAATCTCCACTTGGTTTCTAAAAACTAGCAAGCCTTTTCGAACAAATCCATATAATTCGAAAGCTTAGGAAAGGAGATTTGACATAGACGTCGACTTTTTTCTAGCCTCATTCTAAGAAGAATTATGCCTCATTTCATTTAAAATTATGTCCATTTTTAACAGTGAGTTTCTGCAAAGAGAAGACATAGCTATCGCCATTTATGTTAAAGCGCAAGTGTTCTTTAATATATGTGGACCGTCGACTTTCTCGCTGATTCCATCTTCGTTGCGATAAGAGAGCAGAAAATGAGTACACTAAATCGTTGATACATCGACCAGATAAAATTTTTCATATCTCATGCTCAGAAGACCTAGAAAAAAGTTGACAGTTTACGTCGAATTCCCAGTTCCTAAGCTTTCAAATGGTCTATAGTTGTTGGGCGAAAAAACTTGCCATTTTGAAAAAGGCCATTTTACACTTGCTTGCTCCACTCCCCCCCCCCCCTCTATTGACTTTAATGAGTAACCGGAGCAATGATTTATTGAAAGCGAGACCTGAAATGCCTCAGCAAGCTATACACCATTCGAAAGTTGCGATCATGGCGAATCAATAGAAGATTTTTTTTTATCTTTTCTTAGCAGTAAGGTATGAGGGATCGATTGATCGATAGATCTACTAATTTGCTTTGGCTGGTGAAGAAATGCACTTAATCTCCCTCATTTCATAAAAAGGACGTAATCTTACTAATGTAGTCATTTACTATCTACAATAATTACTGCTTATCACCTGAGCTTTTTCGTAAATTTTAGCACAAGACTTTTTGATTTTTAATCAGCATCGTTTGGAAGAAAACTTAAATTTGTTGGTTTTTTCATCGCCGCTCTTACAAGTAAGCTTGCCTATCTGCCTATCTATCTCAAAGCTGTGAAAAGCTTTTTAAAGTCTTCTGGCTTGAAAATATGTTGATGAATTTTTTCAAGAGAAAACATGGGAGAGAGTGCAGCAAACAAATTTTCGAGAAAAAATTTCGAATGCTTTTTTATTTTTGTGTTCTTTTGTGATTTTTACATCACCGAATAATTTTTACTTTTTGAAGCTACTTAATTTTAATACTACAGTATATCTTAAGAACGTCTTTGAAAGGGTGCGGAAAAAATACAACTATCTTAAATAATGTTGTAATCGATACAAATATTGTTATTCATTGATGTGGTTGTTCTGTTCTACGCCTGAGGTGTTGAGCCTTTGATAGGTATCTGATCATAACTCAGTCGACAAAGTGCTCTAGCTTACTAACTATCTGGAGTTGCCACTTGCTAAGTTTTACGACTTTTGGTGAAAAATTGATTTTTCGCGGCTTTTTGGCACCCCAACATTCATGTTTTTAATTTATTGCAGAATATATGGTTCGTCGGTTTTTGCAACGATCAGCGTAACTTTTCAGAAATTCGAAGGTTTCTAGAAGGTTGTTGAACACTAAAAATGCTTTAATTGGTGTCGATCTGGCAATGAAAATCGCGCCTCCTGACTTACACTCCGGGATCCCCAGATGATCACCTCACATTTTCAAAACCACTTATCTTCCCACGAAAAGGCTGTAGTTTTGTATCGAGGATATATTATGGCACTGCTGAACATATTTATATTTAGGAGAAGTTAGTGAAATCTCAGGATATCGAAAGCTTTGATGAACTACTGTTTGAGAGCTGAGGTTCATAAATTCAAAAACAAGCAATCTATTTGTCTTATCAAAGACATCCCTAACCGTACATGATAGATCATCAATAAAACTAAGAACGTTTTTCGACATCCTGGAAAGGTAGACGATAATAAAATCAAGGGATGATGCCTTGGTGATCGCCCGCCGATCACTCGAAACATTGAGAGTCTCAGCTTGTGTGGCAATGTTCTTCTGCCATCCATTGTACTAAGGAGTATCAGACCATAACAACTTCTGTAACATAAACAGAAAAGAAAAAACAGATTTCTAGAGTAGCAAAATCCGACCCGCATTAACATCCCCGCTGGAAAGGGGATCGCAGGTTAAAAGAGAACTTTATATCTTAAAGTTTCAGATATCCGGATTTCACGCTGTCCACCTTCATAAGTAAGTGAGAAGCTGTACAAGCCGCATTCCAGCTTTTGTATGATCCCTGATGATCCCCGGCGCTTTCTTCCAAAGTCATTTTTCTTTTTTCGAAATTAACGAAAACCTTCCAAAGTTGTACTAATTATCTAACACAACAGTGCTATGTATATTACTGATGGGAACAAATGAGTTTTTGAAAAATCGAATTTTTCGTAAACCACAACCTTCGACTTGTGGTTCATCGCAAATTTCATGACTCCGACACATCATTTATTCTTATCAGCAACATGCTAAGCAGTGTTGGGTTAGATAATGTGCACGGCTTTGGAAACTTTTCGTTAACTCTGGAGAAAGAAAAACGATTTAAAAAAAGCGCCGGGGATCATCAGGGATCGTACAAATGCTGGAAGCTGCGGGTTGTACAGCTTCTCGCTGCTGTTTAATGTGTTCATAGTGAAGGACAGTAGGAATACCTACGGTTATGTACACAACGTGAAATCCAGATATCTGGAGCTTCAGGATATGAGGCTTTTTTAAGCTGCGATTCCCTCCACGTGGGGATGTTAGCGCATGCGGCCCTTAGTGTTAGATCTCATTCCTTCTCCAGTGGGGATGCACGTGCATAAGGGCCTGGGATTGGTCGGAAAGTAATGAAACAGCTCGATTTTTCTGCAAGAGAGTGCATGCTTCAATCAGCAACAATCGGACAGCAGCGTGAACGTCGCTTGTAAGAGTCATTTCGTCCATCATTTTGTTTAATATCGCGTTGTTGCTCCTTCCTGACAACTCTCGACGTGGCGCCCAAAAAAAGCCAAACAAGGTTTTTGGACATCTAATTAGCTAGCGCCGCTCCTCCGCAATGTCATTGATCGAGGGACATCTGAACAGCTCTTTTAGCTATTCCAAATGGTTCTTCAAATATGGAAAATTTTTTGATTTTTTTGAGATAGGTCAGAAGGCGTTTTCTGGCACGATAAAAACGCAAAACATTATGTCTTGGTCTACAAATTCCGAAAATGTAAGAAAGTCGAGTAGGTAGAATAGATAGATACAAAACCGAAAACTGTGAGTTCACATGGAAAAAAGAAGAAAACAAGTTTTTCCTCTACTTAGGGATGCTCACGATATCTCCTGTATAGCCACGGTTGCATGAACATTCCCAGCGCAAGGAGAACAGTGTCCGTTGTTATGGAGAGGCGAAGGGAGAACGCCGGTGCGGTTTTTCCATTATTTGGGATGCTGATCTCCTCGCCACAGAGATGTTCATGCATTCGGCCTTTAGAGTGCTGAACTACGGAGCAGTCGTATTTGTAACTGTCCCCTCATCCATTGCAGCATTACCTTGAAATCTCGTTACACTGTGTTACAAAAGTTGTGGCATATGTGATAAGCTTATATAGTCTTCAGCTGAGGATAATGTGTCATACATCCATCAATTAGAGTTTTTGATCAGCTAGATGAGGCTTTTCCTTGAGTGCTCACTACTTTCCGACCACCCTTAGATTTTTCAAATCAATTCTATGGCATGCAAAACCCGTCGCCCGTTGTAGCATTACTCACTGACGAATATCGCTTTTTCCTTACTCTAAATACTGGTAATTTCGTCCTACAAATAACCGCTATCTAGTTGAAACATGCCAAGTAGATATCATCAGAAAACTTATTGAAAATAACTATAAGTAGGAAAGAATTAGGTCGAAAGTCAGGAAATTCGAAGAATTTTATGGTTTTTGATAGAAACAACTTACGATTTGGTAATGTGGCGCTCTGACAGCTTGCGAATGTTTTGATCAGCTGTCTGAGCAGACAATTCACTGCAAATTCCGCAGAACATTTGGGCCGGCTCCGCCGGGTCATTTGCGGAGGTTCCGTAGATGCGCTGTGGAAGATCTGGAAGCATCCCAGACAGAAGCAGCAAAAGAGAACACCTAAGCGAGATTCGAATTCCTAACAACTGAAGAAACTCACTCACTATTCTCTGCACTACCGATGACATGCTCGATAACGCTATCCAGTTGCTGGCCTCTCTTTTCTAAAACATTAAACAACATTAAAAATCTGCAGAGGCGCGAGCAGGTTAAAGCGCTGCGTAACCATTGGCATTTTGTGGAATTTCCGCAGCTTTTTGTAAAGGGTCTTGCGGAGGTGCCCGTTTTCAGTCATTCTACGTGAAGTCACTGCAAGTACCCATTTTCAACGTGTCCACTTTTGTAATAGTAAACGAAATTCTCCGAAACGCTGCATTGCCTGTTTTGTGGAATTTCGGTTAAATCGTCTAAATTTGCGCGATTTCTTTTTATTCACATATCCAGCCAAAAGCTACTGTAGATGCACACGGAGGGATGATGCAACTTTGCAGACATGATTCCAATGGAACATTGCTCAAGAGCAGGGGTGCATATAAAGTCTCCAGAGAGGATTTCGTACTGTTGCTACTGTAGTTGATTCTTATTATTGTGCTTATGGAAGCCACTAAACTCTCAATTCTCCGTCAAAAGCTATACTTCGATACTGATATTTTGTTGCTTCTTCTCAACCAATCAGTGCAGTGGGTAAAGTTTCTTAAGCGAATCATCTGGCCAATCGAAATCTTACATCTAAACTAGTCTGCATTGTGTGAAGCTTTCATCGCGCATTCATATTTACGTATGCTGCTCAAGCATGGAGGGAAGTGGAGGCGGTAGGTAGTATGGAGGCCTAGGTACGCTTGATCTAGTCATACTGCCTAGATACCACCTCCAATGAGGACCACTCAAAAGTGATGAATCCACGTTGTTGGTAATCCACCTTTATGAACATTAAGCACTTCGGCAACCTACAACGTTCTTGAATGCCTAAGCTCGAAGCTACTGAAGAAAAATTAGAATTTTTACAAATTTTCAAAGCATCTAGGAAACTGCACTGGGTAATACTGTTGCTGATAAGTCACTAGCGTTCCTGTGCATTGTGACGGTGTTATCATGGAACAGTATTTGATATAATTCTTTTTGCCTTGGTTTTTTTGAACACCACTCTTATCAGCTTGGAAATGTGGTCAGCAGGTAGTGAGTTCTAACAAATTTGTGTTACTGGCTATACTTTGTGTTTCTGTTTCCGCGTTCTTTCTTTTTGGCGCATTTTGAGTGCATATAATCTTCGTATATATAAAGCAGGAAATTTGTACATCTGTGCACATTCCCCATAGTCACGAAGAATGAGCGGTGAAATTCATTTTGAAGCTGCTGGTCATCAAGACTTGCTAAGGACGATAAGAAGCGAACCAAGACGAGTCGGAATTAAAGGCAGCGTCTAGGCAGATGTGGACCTAAGGGAACTTTACGTATAAAGTAATTTTGGGGCCCTAACTAAGGCACTGCCCAAGCAGCAGCGCAGGTGAATCACTAACGGCTGAGATATGCTCCTCCAAAGTGAACCCCAGGATCGTGTCCGCATGGATTCATGGCAATTTCGGGCGAGGACCCAGGCTTTCGCCATGAATCTATGCGAAATACGATGGTGAGGTCCAGTTTCGAGGGAAATATTTCAGCGTTAGCACCTGACCTGCCGGTTGGGCAATGGCTTAGTTAGGGTCCCAAATTTACTACGCATGTGAGACCTCCATGTATCCAGACTTTCCTGGACGCTGCCCTTGAAAGAAGGATAAGTTTCGCTGCATGAAAGGTCAAGCACGATATACTGGCTTCAAAACGGGGTAGAACCCGGGATGCCAGCTTGTAAATAAATAAACAAGTGATAAAGGCAATGTGCTTTGATTTTCGTGTTGAAGTTATTAAGGTAACAAGTTGTTTACGAAAATTGCTCCGTAAGTAGAAAAGTCAGTTTGGGGCAGACGGCTATATGTCGCCAAAAGTGGGTGAGTTTTGCGCGGACACAGCAGATATTTAGCTTGCGCAAGCATTGGGAAGTGTATTTGTCGCAGATGTTCGGCGGGATCTCCCACTTTCGGCGACATATAGCTCCCTACCCGTCAGTCTGTAATCGTGTGTTTAATGAAGAATATATTCTGCGCTTAAATGTTGCTCACAAACTGAGCGAATCGATAACTTTCGAGACAATATCTCTAAAAGTTTGAGCACTTTTTCTAAATCGATTGAATGCTATCCTTGACTTTTTAGCTTTCAAGCTAATTTCAAAAGCATACTCCCTTTCAACAAATCTTTATCTTTTTTAATTTCAAGAAAATTTGATCAAAGGGTTGAGGTTGAGAAGTGACGATATGGACAGACCAACAAAATGGTTTTGAGCAGTTGTCGCACATTTGTCTGAACCATAATGATAAACAACTCGGTGTTTACTATCTCTGGTTGGTGATCCTACTTAAAGACATTTTTCATTGGAAAACCATTTCTACATGACTCACATTCTTCGCGATGGACGATGAAGAAGAAGATGTCGCTTTCAAGCCGGTATGGCAAATGCGTGAATAAGCACGCCAAATTTTCGCCTTTTGATGCCTGGGTAAAACAATGTCAGTCCGTTATCCGTTCTCGAGGTCCCCTGTATCACCGTTTAAGCTGGAGCTTGTACGGTATGCAGTCTGTTCAAATCGAGAGCATACCAAAGAGGGATACGCTCTTCATCGCCGCTTTTCAGTCACCCAAGCCGTCTGGCGATTTGCCAATGCTCGAACTCAATCGGAAACCAGAAATCTACAGGGCATCTGTCCAAAGCATTCCCAAGGCCGTAAACTTCTAGACATTAGTGTTGATCGTGCCTACGGCAGGCGCTATACTCCACGAGGAGTATAGCGCCTGCCGTAGGCACGATCAACACTAATGTCTAGAAGTTTACGGCCTTGGGAATGCTTTGGACAGATGCCCTGTAGATTTCTGGTTTCCGATTGAGTTCGAGCATTGGCAAATCGCCAGACGGCTTGGGTGACTGAAAAGCGGCGATGAAGACAAATACGTGTAAAACTGGCGATTTTTGTCGCTGATATTGGCCATCGCTAGTCGCAAATACTGGTGACTGCATTTAATATAGAAATTGATAGCTAACAAGTTTCCAAATGTTCAATCGAAACGTAATGTGTAGTGGCCGAAACCTGGCGCCCCAATCGCTACGACCGGCGATCGCCAGTCGCCGATGTTGGTGACTCTACGTTGGATGCGTATCGATTAAACATGTGGTAACTTGTCAGCGATTAATACTTACGAAAGAGACACAGTCGTCAATACTGGCGGCTGGCGATCGTCAGTCCTGGCGACTACACTGGGTACGTATCGATTGGACAAGTAAAAACAGGCCTGCAACGATAGCTGTCAAAAATGCAGTCGCCGAGTTTAGCGATCGCCCGCTCAGACAATCGCAGGGGGCAGGCGGTCCGCAAACTCGCGTTTTTCTGCAGGCGCTCAGCAGAATTTTGGGGCGTGGCCAAACCTTCAGCGGGCGGCACCTCCTTTACTTTCTAATGTTCTGCCAGCGGGCAGCAACACAGAATTTTCTGCAGGCGCTCGGCAAATAATTTCTTTCAGCGAGCGCTGGTCAAATTTTCAGCTGGCGCTCGGACGGTTTTTAAGCAGCTTCGGGTGTACGCCGAGCAAAGGTGAGGCTCTACATGGCAGAGGAGTCATCGATGGTTTAATTACTCAAGTTTGAGGTACTTTCTCTCAGCGGAAAGTACCTGGGGGCTGCGCGGTCCTCCACAAAGGACCGTGTGGCCCCCGAAAATCTTGCATATTCTCGCGGAAAGTCCGCGAGAATGCGGCCACTGCGCCGCAACTAATCTGTAAGGAAACCGCAATTGTTCTTCAAGCATTCGTCCAAAATTCCGCTAAAATTCTTCCAAATATCTGCAAGCGGACCGCAAGAAATCAGCGAACTATTTTTCCGGTGCCCGCTTGCCCAAAAATGGCATGGCCGCCTGCCCCCGGCGATTATCTGAGCGTCTCGGTGCTCACCCCCCGAGGTGCGCCTGCCTGCCCAGCTGCAAAACTTGTTCCTAAGATTTCAAGCCAGAAACCAAACGAATTTATAAAGTTATGCGCAAACCAATGAACAAAAAGTAAAGCTGCTTCCAGAGTTTCCCGTCCCTTGCTCGCACCAAGGCAGCGCCATGGCAGTGACGTGCCAGTATTGCGGCACCAGAACCGAAACAGCGTTAGCGGAGGTCCCCTGGGAATTTTGATCGCTTCTTAAGGCGTTTGCATGGAGAAATGCCAGAAACTTCTCTTTTGCCTTTAATGTGTTTTCCCGCTCTCTTTTCTTCTGTTCTTTCGTCTCGCGTCCCTTCTCCTCTTCTCTGTTCTCTTTTTTTGAACCTTATAACATGTCTTTTTTTAGGAAGATTTTTCTTTACTGTCATCATTTGGAAATTTGTGCATTCAAAGTTTTTTTTGGTGATATTGTTGTTTTAGGTGTGGATCCCGGCCAGCTTCCCATAGGTACCTGCGCCCATGATGCGATAGGTGGAGAAATTTCTCTGACCCCTTTCTTTAGAGCCGGCATCTGGCTGACTCCTTTCACCTGAGGTTGAGACTAGAATCAAGGCATAACGGCAGAATCAAACAGCTGTTACAACGGCAATTTTTGGAAAGGAAACAGTTGCTCTTCTTCTTAAACATCATTACTGCAAGGGAGTATCGAAGCAACAGCAACGCGTTTTGTTGAAAAAACGCCTTGAGACCTTCTGCGCACTCAAAGTGGCACTGATAACGAAACATAATCAAAAATTAAAGGGATATCTGATTCTTTAAATAATTAACTTTGTATCGATGATTACACACTGTCGCAAGAAAGAGTTGAGCAAAAGTAGAAATTTTGGACTAGCTAGTGATGGATGCATGTTTTCTGCCAAGAACTGTACCATATCTCCCTTCACTAGAGAGAATAATCTATATATCTATCCTACTATAATAACGCGCTAAGAGTGTTTACGTTTTTTTTGTGTGTGTGTGTGTCTGAATGTCTGTCTGTCACGAAATTCGTAGAGCGTGTTCCAGCCAACGTCCTGGGCTCAAATTTTGCATAGCACTTGCTACTGGCATGAAAGTCCAACATGCAAAAGCACAAGCAGATTCGTTGAGTGGATCTCTTGAAAATTGCGCGTCAAACGGATCCACTTTGCATTTGGGCCGCAAAATTGGGTCCGTAATTCCACTTTTTGCAGAGTGGTGGGTGTTTACGGCAAGTAAATGTGCAAGCCATGAACTTAGGCCCAAATAAGTGACCAAAAGTCCATTACTTTACAAAAACGGCGCCAAAAAGTATTGCTTGCGTAAATGGTCAATTTGCCAAGGTTCTAGAAAAGCATATGAGAAGATTTTCGCACAAAGATGTAGCTGACAGTGACTATTGCCTTTATGGCGACTATCAAACCATGACAAATTCAAAAACCTGTTCAGATTTGCCTTTATCTTCCTGCGAAAACTTTTTTCCATGCGAAATCACCGATCTCACGTGAAAAAGCTTTCTAAATTAGTAGCTGTTTACATTTCATTCGTGGTAGTCGGCATAGCACGGTGAGTTTCAATGTCACTATTATGCGGGAATGGGTAAGGCAGGCGCTATACTCTTTGAGGAGTATAGCGTGGCGAAGGGCGATCGCCGCGATTTTTGTCGCCATATTGGCGATCGCCAGTCGTAGCGATCGCCAATATGGCGACAAAAATCGCCAGCACGTATTTGATGCATATCAATCGTCGCCATGCTATACTCCTCGAGAAGAATAGCGCCTGCCCAAGGCATACAGAAAGTAGGGGCCAGTGCGAGCCTCTGCGAAGCAGAGGTGACGCACTGGTATATATATAAAACTCAAACACTGTACCGTGTTTGTTAGGATGTTTGTGGCTTATAGACTCCTTTGTATGTGAACCAAAGAGGCTGAATTTTGTTTCCCTATAAACAAGCCACGGCGCAAAAGATAGGCTACTTTTTTCGACAATTCGCTGGGTCCTTCTATCGATTTATTGATTTGTTGCACTCTCAGTAAGGGAATGAAGCTTATCAGCAGCTATTGCCGAACCATTCCTACACTTATGTAAACAAGAGCAGTACGATCCATTGTGAACTTTCGTCATCAAAGCAAGGTCGAAGGCGTTCAGATGTAGATCCTATATATTATGTCTAAAACTGCGAGATGCATCTTTTGCGGTGCGAGGTAGTAGTGTTGTTAACGCAAGTCAAAGCCTTTTTTGATGCAGATGTGAGCCAATCGCTAAGTTACAAGCTGTCTCAAATTGCGTGCCACACTCTAGCGCTGGAACCTCCGACATGAATTCCAGCCGCATGAGCGTGACTCTCAATCTGAAAGCTTACATCATAATTTTGTTTATTGACTGAAGTCCTTGAGTTTTTTCATTAATCTGTTATCCAAATGGCTCACAAGTTGTGGATTACATATCTTTAACGTGGTAGAATGGCTGTTGCTTTGGCTATAAAGGTATTCGCTCTCTAAAGCAAGGACAGTCAAAGAAGCACTTACTTTTGTCGTAGTACGGGAGAGGAGGGTAGAGTGCGGGAATTAAAACAGAATAACCGATTAGCGGCGAAGTACTAGGAAAAATGATCCTCAGGATAGCAATGGGCGCTACATTATTCGAACGTTCTCCCACCTATATCGCAATGCTTGCTCTTCAAGTTTTTTCACGTCTTCCATGTTTCAAAAAGAAGAGAGACAATGCTGTTGAGTAAAAGTGTACACATTTTATTTTTATTTTTGCAAACAAACTTCAATGATACACTACTGCTTTGAGTGTCACATATATCTAAAGACAGTGAACCCTAAGTGATGTTATCCCGGGCAAGGCCGGGTACGACAGCTAGTGACAAATAAAAGAGCAGTAAGCTTACTCGGTATATAAAAGTTCGAAAAAGACCTTCTTGGTTTAAAAAATTAATTACTTAGATTTGGCTGATATTGTAGCTAGATAAAACTGCTAGTATCTTGCACCACAGAAAAGCTACGAGATACGGTCTACGTCAACCCCTCGTGTTCTTAGCTATCGAATGGTCGTGCACAAAGTATTGGTGCACAAAGCTCTCTTAGTCCAAAGAAGTCTTACGGCGATCCGTAGAAAGCAAAAGCGTTTCGAGCAAGTTACCAAAATATCTCTACCTTATTTTTGAAAGCCACGATTTTTTCACTTAACAACCTATATACTCCTAGAAGACTCACGAAACAGGGATTCGACCTAGACCATCTTTTTTTTTAGCTCTCCTCTACTCAGAGATACATGGCACTTTAGCTAAAAAACATGTGTGTTTTTGTGAAGAATTTTTCATAAAAAGAGTGATTGAAAGTGATCAAATGATGAAAATGCTGTCTAACTCTATTAAAGAGCAAGACTTCGACAATAAACGTAGACCGTCTCTTTTTTTCTAGCTTTTCTATTTCTTCAGAAATGGAGCTCAAAGTGATTGCATAAAATCAGCTGATGCTGGAGCTAAATGTTTTTTATATCTGAATTCACAGGAGAGCTGGACAAAAAGAAACGGTCTTCTTCGATTCTGAATGTTTCAAGCTTTCGAATGGTATGTCGACTGATGAAACATAAAGATTTCCTGAGTCAAAAAGTCTCTGTTGGATGATCTTCCAAAACCTAAGCATTGAGGAAAACTTTATATTACACCTCTGCACCACTTATTTTCCTTCTTTTCACTACACCTTCCGTTAGATATGTAAGCTTGCGTCAGCATTCATCTCACGCCTACTTATCCCCTTCACTTTTCTAGGTCAGAAATGGCCAAAACCCCCTTCACCTGAAGAACACCCTGCCTCCCCCTATCGCACCTGTGCCTGCGCGACGGACCACCCGCACACGCCTTCAGTGCGCCCCTTGTCCTAGCTTCTAACGGAATTCCTCGCTTCTCATTCTCTTGTTTTTCTTGTACTATATTTCCTCTATTCCAAGTATAAGCAATCCGCAATAACCGGTGACGAGGTTTCACGTGCTTTCATAGTCCTAAGAGCTTCAGTCCCAAGTAGTATTCGGTGTTTCCTTTTTTTCTCCTGAGAAATTGAGATCTGAGTGAATTATAAGGTAATATTCCTTCAAGGACTTCTTGTGCGAAATAAGAGTCCTTTCCAGCTTGATCCGTAATGTAGACATGCGTCAAGTTAAAATTAAGCTTTTCGAGAAGCCGATAGGGGTTCGTTTACAAAAACGTCCACGTTTTTTGAAAACTGTTAACATGCTAGTTTTCTAAATCTACGAAGAGGAACATTTTAGGGTATTTCCTTTTTTCTGATCTACATATATTTGATAGCCTTCTCCATCAATGCAAGTTCCAAATTTTGCATTGATTGAATGTGAGGAACTAATGGAGTTTGCGTCTTTTATTCTTGCTTAGGTTTCCTTCAAAATGAACGCAGAGGTTTCCACTTTTTTATTCTTTCCTTTGTGTGCGTAGACATGCTCTACTGCTCATGAGTGAGGTGAAAAGTGTTGGATATTTTTGTGCGATAAATTTAAAGATTAAATATGTTCAAGTAGAATATCTTAGCTTTCAAAATACTGTTGCAGAGCTCAATTTTTTTGACAACTTCGACGCAGGCAGCAAAATTGACGATTAATTGGGAAAAAATAAAGAAAGTGCTTCCAAGACTTCGCAAACACCTGCGAATACCTTGTACTAAAAAGAAAGCGACGATAGATTCGCTCTAGTTTGGTAGATTGGATATCTCATCCAATGCACTCAAAAAATCTATGCATAGTCCAAAAATCATTCTGTTGAGAAAGATACGAAAACTATAAACAATTTGGTCGATTTTTAGAATACAAAGGATTTTCTTGACTTAGAATGTCAAGAACTGAGACCATCTATGGCTTCTAGCATATTTCGTGTGATCTCAGTTGCCTGCAATGTAGCAATCTGCCAATCGTCTTCAAATTTGGAATGCCGCGTCTTTTAGATTTTTATGAGCTGATTCAAAGAGTTACAGAATGCGAAAATTTTGCGAAAACGTCCGAGAAAAACGAAAACATTTTCCAAATGTGTCGCACAACTGCAGCGAGTACCACATCTATTCTTAGAAACAACTCCTAAAGAAATTTTCCTAAAAAAACGGCATGTGTAATGAAAGTCAGAAAGAGAATGGCTGCAGAAGGACGCGAAAGGAAGGAAAAAGCATAGCTTAGAGGCAAAAATTAGCAAGTTATGGAGATTCTGTTGGTAAAAACACCGGGCTGATCGTTCGTATCGGGACCGGTGGCGTGGCGCCGGCTGGGACAACGCTGTGCTAGCACGACACTACCCTGGCGCTGCATCAGTGACGGTACAAGACGGGCAGTTTTTCAAGCACTCAAACGAGACATTTATGTACAACAACACCGTGAAGTCCTCTCGGGTCTCCTTTGTCTCAGTAAGAATGGTATTGACTGCAGCCCTTCTTACTATTATGCATGATCTTTGAGAAATTGAGAGTAGGTGAGGCGAAGTGCGGTTCATAAATCAAGAATCCATAATTTGAGAATTTGGCTTTTTGGAAGAAATTGAAATAACCGTTGGTATCACGTGAAAGAGCATATCCGAAAAAGGTATACAGAACATGAGAATGGAAACAATCTCAGAGTGCTAGTCTTAGGAATGATTTTACGTCGAATGCGAAATTTTAGCGGTCCATAATTACACGAACACCTCAAACGAAGCCTCTTTTTTCACTTAAAACTTCGATTGTCAAGTCTAAATATTTTTGTAAGGTTACAGTAAGGAATCTAAAATATCTGCTTCTAAGGAACTTAACGCAAATGTATTAGTATTGCGTTAATGATGCCGTGAAGCCTGTGTATTGATAAGTGTGCAAATGTCCAGGAAAAAGTCAATGGCTCGCTCCAGATGCATGCGCCGCAACTACTAATATATTTGGAATTGGCGTTTCAACCTTATTTAGAATGCTGTGCTTACTAGGAACTTAGCTGAAAAACGCGACATCACCCCAATTTCACTCGTATAGAACGTGGTGGGTTTTTTTCAAATCGAAAAGCACAGATACTCCAAAGGACTTCGCGACCGAAAATCTATTTACAGGGTTGCGCATTGAGAGTATCGTGCGCATAAGTCTCGTGCGAAACACAACGAGGCGGTTAAGCGGCAGCTTGAAAAGCCGATAAGGAGCGTCTTGTACGCGTAAAATTAGGTTACATAGGAAATTTGTGAACGTCAAACAAATATCCATCGAAAACCTCAATTTACCTCATAGTATTGGTAGAAGCTGATTAGACTGCTCGAACCACAGAAAAACAGACGCTTTAAGAGCACTGACTCCAAAAGCATTATAGGCTACTAGCTGGCAAAGCCGGCTTCGCCCGGCCTTACCAACAACGTATTTGTAATCAGCATGTTACATTGTTCACTGTTCAGCATTGTTCACCTACCCACCTGTGCCAATCCCAGCCCCATAACTCAAATCTTGCAAAAAGTCGATAAAATCGATATTGATCGATAACAAAAAGTAGCCTACGACACCCGCACCACCCCGCATTTATGCAAAGCTTGGTGCAGATCGGTTTAGAAATAAGAATTTCTATTCGGAACATACATACAGATAGACATACAAACAGAAATTCAGCTCTATATATCAGATCTGAGGAGACTAACGTCTTTTTTTGGAGCTGCACTGGGTCACATGTATGGCAGACATCTTGCACTCTCTTGACCTAACTTTACGGAAAAAATCGACTTGAAAGATTGCAGTTTTAAGTAAAAAAAGAGCTTCGTTCGAGGTATTTGTATAATTGTGAACCGCTGAAAGTTCGCATTGGGGGCAAAAATACTCCTATTTAGTTACCTAAACTTATTTGTAAAACAATCGGGTTGCCGTGAGAAGCAAGAGAGATATTGCATAAATTGGTATTTTCTTATCTTTTGCACGTAAGGTATCAATTATGAAATTGTGACAACGGATTCGATTGCGGTCTTTGCGCCCACACTCAGATAATCGCCGGGGCAGGCGAACCGCAACGCGCTTTTTTGCAGGCGGTAAGCAAAATCTTTAAACGGCCAAACCTTTAGCGAGCGGTACTTCTTTCACAGTCGCATGTTCTGCTAGTGGACATCAATACATATGTCTGCGAGCGGTCGTCAAACAATTTCTTTCGATCGTTTTACGCATTATCTGCTTACGCCGAACAAATTTGATACTCTATGATGCAGAGGTGTCCTTTGGGTCTGATGACCCGAGTTTGGGGTACACTCTCTCGGTTGAAGGTACCTAGGGGCCTATGCGGACTTTCAAGGAAGGCCGCGCGGCCCTCAACACTTTAGCATGTTCTCGCGGAAAGTCCACGAGAATGCGATTACTACGCGCAACTAATATATGAATAGTCTCTGCGCTTTCGTAAAAAACCAACATTTCTCCACATATTCGCAAGCGGGTCGCAAGAAATCGGCAAAATATTTTTCCGACCAGCTTGCCTATAAAACCGCATGGCCGCCTACTCCGATTCTCTGAGCAAGAGCATGAAACATTCATACAAAAAAACATCACCTCAACGCTCAGCTCAGTCACTTCCAATGTCTAAATACAATCGTACACAAGCAGAAGAACCATCAAGTGGAGATGAAACCAAGAAAATGCTATCGCCGAAAGCGCTTGCGTGTCGCGCGCTCTCGCGCGAGATTTTTAAAATGTTTTGTAACATGCCATGAGCTGTTCGAATGAATCAAATACAACAACTGAAGAGCTTTTGGATTCGAAATGGAGCAAGGTTTTGCAAGATTTTGCAAGATTCGACGTTTTCGCGTGCAGCTTTAACAGCACATAGATTTCATTGAGTTCATCACTATGTTTCAGTGGCGTACCCAGATTTCCGTTTGGCGGCGGGGCGACAAAAAATTTTCCCGTTGTAGAGCTTTTCGTCGGCCACGTTTCCGAAAAAATTCTTTTTGTAAGGCCAAAATGAATTTTGAAGTTTCAAAGTCATTATAATTAATATAATCAAAAACAGGTATAAAAAAGTCACTTGTACATTTTTATAACTCATTTAAAAATAGCTTTCAAAAACTTCCCATTCTCGGGAAGCCCCCCCCCCCCACTTCGCATTCGGTACGCCACTGCTATTAGTTGATTTCCACTATTCAGGAACATAGTAGTGGCATTGAGGTAGACGCGAAAAGAAAGAATCACTATGCGTATTTCGATTTTTCAATTTGAAAGGGTTTAGCGAATACTGATTGAGTCTAAACAACGGAAATTTTCATCTTCTGACTTGTATGTTATATTTAGGGAGCTATCATAGACTCCTCTAAAGCGAAGTATGTTGTAATTAGGCTTCTAGGTGAAGGAGGATTTGGAGCTGTATACAAGTATGTTTATTCATGAATTTGGTAATTTTCGTAACCAATCATTGCTTAATAAGGAGAAGTATCTCAGTTGAATATTATATGACTGGCCATATACATTACAGTCTGCCCCAATCCCAACCAGGCCAAAATTGGCATGGCGGGAGTCCGCGTCGCTAGGGTTTCGCGGTCACGCCCACGGCCTGCTTCTCTGCTCTCTCTGCAATCCTTTTGCTCTCTCCGACAGCGCGCATACCGTCGATATCAATTCGCATTGGTCTTTTCCGCGCCGCACAGGTCTAGTGCGCACGCTTTCCAACGCGCATGCACGACGCGGCGGGCGTCCACTCCTGGCGCTTTGCCAGCCATCATCAGCTGATTTCGCGGCCAACCAGATCATTTTTGTTGCTATCTCTTCATTATTTTCTTCATTAGAACCTAGGAGTGAATATTCTCCCTCGCCTAGTTTTTGCTGCAACTTATTCTGAATGTTTTTCTTGCTCTTTTTTTTTTGAGCGTCATCAGCTGATTTTGCTTGGTTGAAGGTAAGAAGTATCGTTTCGATCGTCTCCAAAAAACAAAGTGGTTTCAGCTTTTACAGGAAGTCCGAAAGTAGACCAAGAAAGATCGAAAGCATCATAGATAGATATACATATACATTAATATAATATTATAATCAAGATTGATAACGATAAACCCCCTAAAGGGCGAAAGTGAAGGGTAGAAAAACAGTCGAAATACCAGTAGCAGTAAAGTAGTACTAGCGATAGAATATTCACTCTCCTACTCAGACAAATCACCGGAACTTCCGCAGAGCGTTTGCGGAAGTTCCGCCGGGTCACCTGCGGAAGTTCCGTAAACGTGCTGCGGAAGTTCCGAAATGAGGTCCTGCGGAAGTTCCGAAGAATGCCAACCGCAACAGCAAAAGAGAACACCGAAGTGAGATTTGAACCTCACTCTATTGACTGTGAGACCCACCTACTATCCTCTACGCTACGACTGACATGTTCGATGATGCACTCTGGTTGTTGGCGAGGCCACATCACGAGACAACACATTCAAAGTCCTGCGGAAGTTCTGGCAGGCCAAAGTGCTGCGGAACCTCTGGCATTTTTCGGAATTTCCGCAGGATTTTGAAGAAGGTCCTGCGGAAGTTCCAGTTTTCAACCAGTTTGGCATGAACATCCCGCGGAAGTTCCGATTTTCAACGTTTTCACTTTTGCAATAGTGAACAAAATCCTGTGGAACTTCCGCAAATTTGGCTTGTCCTGCGGAAGTTCCGGTGATTTGTCTGAGTAGGTGTTATTGGAAAAACGGCACATAACTCTGGCTGATTGCGGCCGGCCCATCACTTTTCCAGCGAAAATCCTGAAAAGAGGAGCGAAAATAATGAAAATAACAACAAAAATGATCTGGCTGGCCGCGAAGTCAGCTGATGAGACTGGCAAAGCGCCAGGAGTGGACGCCCGCCACGTCGTGCATGGGCGTTGCAAAGTGTGCGCAATAGACCTGTGCGGCGCGGAAAAACCAATGCGAATTGATATCGATGGTATGCAGCGCAGACCGCTAGCGCTGCGAGCGCGCAAAATTACGCCGAGGGTTCGGCCTAATCCGGATTGGAGCAGACTGTACACATGTATTAGGTTGGCACGAAAGTTCTTGCGTAATTCAAACAAAATTCAATAATTTTTCAAAGACTAAACCTAAATTCACAATCTTATATGCTAAAAATATTAGAAGTCTTACGCTTCATGATGGATGTTTAAGCATAAGATTCCGTGAGCTGGACATCAAGAACAAAGCTCTCGAATATGGGGCTTCAAATTTTGCGATTTTGAGTTTGGTGCCAGAAAATCGCAGAGTGCCGCTAGCTAGCCGAAAAAAATCTATAGAATTTACTTACACAACAAAAGTCCATATATTACTTTGGAAGGCTTTGATCTTGCACGGTGAAGCAAAAACAAAAAATTCGTGAAATAAGTCATGTTGCGGAAAAAATCCCGTCATGTCCGCAGTTTTCCGGCGAAAACACTTTTTTACAATCGAGGAAACGTCACAAGGCTCTAAATAGGCACTATGTCTAATTTCTGGTTGCAAGCTGTGTTTCGGTGGAAAAGTTAGAGCGATAAGGGGATTTGTCCTGTGAAATGAGAATTTTCACAAATTTTTTATTTTCGCGTTTCCATGCGAGATCAAAGCCTGCTAAAACAACGTATGGACTTTAGCTGTGTAAGTAAATTCTACAGATTTTTTTCGGCTAGCTAGCGGCACTCTGCGATTTTCTGGCACCAAACTCAAAATCGCAAAATTTGAAGCGCCATATTCGAGAGCTTCGTTCTTGATGTCCAGCTCACGGAATCTTACGCTTGAACATCCATCATGAAGCGTAAGACTTCTAATATTTTTAGCATACAAGATTGTGAATTTAGGTCTAGTCTTTGAAAAGTCATTGAATTTTGTTTGAATTACGCAAGAACTTTCGTGCCAACCTAATATATGTCAACAGTGATGAGCATATCTCCAACAGTGCACTATATTTTGCGCATGAATGGAACCTTTTGCTGATTTAGATAGTCTCTCAGCTTCTACAAAAAATCGTATACCTTCTAACCTCTGTTTGTGGGTCTGCGGTATAAAGCGAAAAAGAAGGAAGCCAAAAACCAAGAATGCTTCAAAATTTTGCCTTCCCTAATTTTCCAAACTATTTTGCAAGACACAGGAGCCGAATGCATACTGAATTTCGAGTTTTTGCCTGCTCACTTTGCTTACCAACAATTTTGAGGCGATTTCTTTTTAATCCTGCTCTTGCAACTCCTTTCACTAACTATGTAAAATCTTAACCCGTTTCGGACCTCGAAATCACGTGCGGCGAAAAAGATCGCATTTCCAGCCATTAGCCAACAATGGGAGCTTGTTTCGTAGACTGTGTGCTACATTCGTAATCAGCTTGTCAGATAATTTCCATAGACAAAGTTGTGAGTGAATTCGAGGTGTTTGATTTTTGTCGCTTAAGAAGGACTTCTGTGCTTTCCTGAAGGATAGAAACAAGAACTCAGTTTCTTATAGTAAGCAAGTATCTATGTTGTGAAAGGTTCACATCAGTATTGAAACTACGGTTTTTCTCTTTTATATCGAAGCAAAGAAAAGTTGCGACATCGCACGCCTCGTTCGCGTTGCCGCACTTCATTGCAACTGTTGTTTGATTTGTGCCCATATATTTTGAACACGGCACAACTCTACAAAGTCATTTGAAATTAGAAGCTTAGGCGTTTGACTTGATGACTTTGGATTAAAAAAAAACTTCCTGTAAACGTCAAAAAGACCCTTCAAAGCAGCACCATGTGCAGCTCCGGTCCGAAACGTGCTAAACCGGGCGATGGTGATCAAAGTTTAGAAATGGTTACAGTGGAGAGTTTATAATAATCTGCGCATTGAGTATAATACCACTTCAGCCTTTATCTGCCGAAATTTGATACAAAGACTGCTGCATAACGAACTCCCACATGGTCGGCCGCCTCATCGTGGCGTGGGGGTGACACTGGGTGTCGAAATGCGATGCATAGCCGAGTGTATACTCTGGTAGGGCCTCCCAAGCTGTAAACGAGTTCGACGTTTCCGGTCTCGGCCGGATGCCTAGCTAAGAGCCGGCCTGGCCTGATCCCCCCGCCGTCTGGTTTTCCCGGTCGCCAGGTTTCTCCCTCCCCCCCCCCCCCCGGCTCCACACCCGGGCTAGCGACCGCCCGTGGAAATCAGGAATAGACCTAGTAAGTCTGCTCACTTTTTTCCTCATCCTTCCCGCAGACGGTCGGCTAGCTCTTAGCTCTGACCTATACCATCCACCAAGGATAGGATCGAAAGACAAGGTGGAGGAAACCGTGGCTGGTCCATTGCGTCTATTGGCCGAGAAGTCATGGACCAAGATCGCAAAGTCACGAGAATGGGCTGGTTGGCACGATCAAGAGTGAATTCTTGTCATTGAAGACGATCGAAGTCGAAGTCGCCCAAGTCAAGCCATAAACGAATCATCGCGACATTGATTGTATATAACCGCTGAGGATGAATAAATGTATGTATGTGTGTATAAGTCTGCTCTTGTAGGGGAATGTCGTTGATGGAAAGAAACCCTGCACATCGGATCCCGCCTACGGCGCGGGTGATAGCAGGAACGATGTCAGGGTCCTCAAGGATCCTTTAGGATTGAGCGAAAACGAAACATCTGCCCGGACAACACGCCACAAAGACTGCCTCATGCTCTGCATTTACAACGCCAGGACAGTCTTTACAAACGCCGACCTCCACGCTCTTCTCGACGCTGCAGAAAACATCAAGTATCACATCGTCGCTTTGCAGGAAACGAAGTTTAGGAAGAAGGACGTGCAACAGATGAGTGTTAAGCCCTTGTCATTCGTAGTTAGAAGGTTCCTTAACGAAACGTTGGAGGCGTTGGCTTTGTCGTTCACCCATTTCTCGTCCATCCTGTCGATCATGAGATCCTCTCACCTCGACTAGCCATCCTACGAGTACAACCACAACGTCAGAAGACCATCAACATCATCAACTGCTACTCACCTACATCAGCAGCTGACGACTCAGAACTAGATGCTTTCTACGAAGACTTGGAGGAGGTCGTCCGCAACGAGAAGTTTTTCTACAAGTTTGTTGTGAGCGACTTCAACGCGAAGATCGGATCCACTAGAAAGAATATAGCGATCGGGAAATTTGGATAAGGGCTCCGGAACGAAAACGGCAACCGTCTTGTTGGGCTTTTCTCCGCCGCACGACTTTTCCAGAAATTCCATCTTCATGAAGAAAGAACATCGCCGGTGGACATGGGAATCGCCCAAAACGGAACGACCCACGCGGAGATCGACCGCATTCTTACCAGGCGAAGATGGAGCTTCACTGATGTTCAGTACTTCCACCCTTCTGCAGTGGCTCCGATCACCGCCTCCTTCGAGCGAGATACGATTCAGTCAAAAGCTAGAAAAGAAAGTCTGTCACAGTGCCGCAAGAAGGAAGAAAGCAGTTCACGATGTAACAGGCTGGAAGAGCTCATCAAGTTTTGACTGGCATATTGAGGAGGATCCAATGTACGACTACGACCGGCTCTCGCGCACTAACCTGCCGGAGAGTGCGCCCCTCAGCGGATGCTGAAAGAACTTGGATATATTTCGAAGATCACCAAGGAATTGCTTGAAAGAAAAAGATTTCTGAGGCAGGATTCGAATGCAACCCATCTCGAACGACTTATAGCCAACGCCAGTTGCAGAACAGCTTTGCAGGAGGATCTCAGGAAGTACAGGCAAGCCAAGATACTGGAAGCAGCCGAAGGAAGACGAAGTCTCAAGAAATGTTGAAGAAACCTCTATACCACGTACCGCTGACTACACTACTGAACGAAGATGGGGATCCGATTTCTCCCCGGTATAAAATGGAATAAATCGAGAAAAACTCCTACACCAAACTCTTCCGCTCATCAACACCCGTGCCGATGCCCGTTGTTCTCACTGGAGAAGTACCAGAAGTCCACCACGAACTGAAGTGCTGAAGTGCGCACGGCGATTTGGACCATGAAGACGTCCACGGCTCTAGGACCAGACCATCTTTCCGTCGAATTTCTGCGAGCCTGAGTAAAACGTCTACCGAGATTCTTGCGTCGCAGCTGATATCTTACCTTCAAAAGGAAAGGATTTCCGACCAGTGCAAAAAGTCAAAAACCGTCTCTCTATTCAAGAATGATAAACGGGAGGATCTTCGGAACTCTTCGGATCTACCGCCCAATAGGCCTGAGTGTGCTGTATAAGCTTTTCATAAAGATTATCCTCGCTCGCATATCTAGGACACTGGATGAAGCCCAACCGCAAGAACAAGCTGGATTTCGCAAAGGATTCAGCTGCATGAACAAAATCCAGACGGTTTCGAGGGTCATAGAATTCTGCCGAGAGTACCGACTCCCTCTCGTCCTAACTCATCGACTACGAGAAAGCCTTTGACAGCGTCGAAACCAACGCCATCCTGTCAGTGCTAGACGGTTAAGGAAGAGACTCAGCTTACGTGAGGACGTTAGCCGACTTCTACAAGGACTGTAAAACGACGATGCGGCTGTTCTATCGCCCTCTGACCATCCCAATTGGGAAGGGAGTTCGACAAGGCGACACTAGTTCGCCAAAGCTGTTCACCGCGCCTTGCAGTGGGTGATGAAGTCATTGGACTGGAACGAGAAAGGCGTACGATTTGATGGGAAATTCCTGTCGAGTATTCGTTTTGCGGACGACATCGTTCTCTTCTCGAGCAGTATCACTGAAGAGAGAGGATGCTGAAGGAACAAAACGAAGTAAGGACGAAGATCGGATTGCGAATAAATCGGAAGAAGACTCAGTTTATGAAAAACGCCCTTTGCGAAGACGCAGAAATGGAATTGGAAGGCACTCCTATCACGGATCTTCTTACTTGCATCTCGGAAGTTCGATGTATAAACGTGGAGAACGATTTGAGGGAGAAACATAACAGGAGAAGAAGAGCAGCCTGAACCGCTTTCAAGCCTCTGAAGAGGCCACCGACCAACTGACGGACCCGGAGCTTCGTGCCCACCCATTCGACTCAACCGTTTCCCCGGCGCTCTGTTTCGCACTGGGATCTGGGCCGAACTGCAGCCACGTCGAAAGCTCTACGGACCACCCAAAGAGCGTTTGAGCGCATCTTCTGAAGATAGCCGACACAAGCAACATCTTGTCGGACTGCGCAATACAGATTTAAGAAGAATGTCTCTTCTTCGTGACCCAGCGGAATACGTTGCGAAAGCGATACATCGATGGGCCGGTCACATCCAGAGAAGAACAGACGATAGATGGACACTATGGAAGTCGGAGTGGGACGTGTTCGTGGAACGGATAGACCAGCTGAGAAATCAGCTGGATACAAATTCCGCCCCTGAAACTTGTGGACGCCGCCACCGACGACAACCAAGAAGATCGTGGACGTCTAAAGGAGGGACAGGTATCAATGGCAACTTCTGTACTGATGCCCGCACATCACGTGAGAACGGGCCATCTGAGTATTTAAATATCTCAGTAAGTGCATGAAGAAGGCGCAGAAGCAGTATTAGTGCGAGCGCAACGTTGGCGTGCGTTGCTTCACCGTTGTAAATCCTGCGCCTCATGCGCTCTGTGGCTAGAAACCGCGTTCGCTTTCAAAGATATTACGCCTTTGTCGTGCAACAGCCTATACATTAACGTTACTGAAATAGTATGCAGATGAGGGCTCGCTTGGCTAGCTTGCTGAATATCTTTATTCGGAAAACAAATGTCTTAGCTTGATTAAACTCTCAGATAATGATTTCCGTTGACACCTTGCGTATGAATCTCAACTGAGAACCTTTTAAAGCATAAAATTTTGAATAAGACTGCGTTTTTTGAGGACGTTTTTATGAAACATACAACCATATTATACGTAAAACTGCATCATGCACTGGAGAACTTTTAAGGGTACACGACCAGAAAGACCCTGGTAAGGAGTATGCAATGAAAGTCGAGAAGAAACTGGAAAGTCGTAAGCATTCAAAGTTGAGAATGGAGGTGACTATGCAAGTTCTTATGCTCCTGTGAATGTGGAGCAATTTTTTAGATAGCTATCTTGAAACTAGTCTGCACGGAGCGAAAGCAATCTCATTTTACTGCGATTATTGACCGCGGAAAAAAAGAAACATATTTTTTCTTAGTTATGCAGCTTGTTGGGAAGAGTTTAGCAGGACTCAAGAACGCCAGACCTTTACGGGTATGGCATAACTTTGAGAGTTTGCTCTAATTCGCAACTTCTAATTTAGGTCTTCTCCATGTCCACTGGGCTGGGAGTTGGTATCCAGTGTCTGGAAGCATGTGAGGACCTGCATAAGTACGGATTTATACACCGCGATTTGAAGCCAGCAAATTACGCATGCGGCTTAGGCGATAAGAAGAGAATTGTGAGCAGTTTTTGTTATGGGGAATTTGAGAGTTGAAATCAAGTTGCTTACAGATATATATTCTTGATTTTGGGATTGCGAGGAAATACTTAAACGCAAAAGGAGAAATGAAAGCACCGCGAAGAATGGTGAAATTCAAGGTAGGTCTAGGAAAAAGAAATGTAGCTCATGAAAAATGAAATGAAAATAATAGATCAGTAAGCTAGAGCAGCCATGAAGTGATCTGTTTTCGTTTTTTCTGTCCTAAGCTTTCTTATAGCGCAGAAAAACTCAGAGAAAAAAAAACCACTCCAGCTATTTTACAGGTTTGTGAGAACGAAATGAAAGCAGGATATTGCTTTGGAAACTGCTTGAACTTAAGCAGTTTTAAAGCGATTTCCACGATACCGAAATTGAGCGATGGTCGTACTTGGATGAAAGCAGGATACAAGTTACATCTAATCAATCTACTTGTTGGCATATCCAGCTGCGTTTCTGCCTGTCAATCTATACTTATATAACATTTGGCTTAACCACTTTTTGTATCTTCGCCTAAAAAGGATAGAAAGAGTAATAGAATTTAAACCAAGTTAAGCATACATAATGTATAGAGTTGGTCGTGTGTTAATAAGCCATTTCGTTCCAGACACACAGATTGCCGCTATCGATTTGTTGATTTCTTGCAGTTTTGCTTAGAAAATTTCTGTTTGCACAAAGAAGATAGAAGAAGTCATCAAATCCAAGCCATTTTTAACGGGCGTAGTGATGGGGTGCGGCGTGTTTAAATAAGCCATTTTGTTTGGAACCTACCGCTTGCCTTTATCGATTCATTGATTTTTTGCAGTTGCGCAGTTTACGTGGCTTGAAATGTTGAGTCAAAATGAACTGACACGCCAAAAGTATGTCTTCAGTTTTTCTTTCTGCGCATGTCATAAATATGATTTCTGCAAGATGGCAAATTGTCTCTCGAATTTTCACATTTCCGCATTCAAGTAAAAAGTAAAAATAAAACGAAAAGATCACGAGGCCGCGGAGCTGCTGAGTAATCAGTCGAACGTGCGCGTGGCGGCAGAGAGCGGCTGATATAATATAATAAAATTCTCATTTCACATTCATGCAACACCCTGCTCCTGTCTTTCTTTCAAACAAGATGGCCTCCCATTTTCGTCACCAGCATGCTCACTTACCATTCCATCCAACTTCCAACTGGTCAGGTCGAAGCTTGCAAATAATCGATAGAAATGATAAATGCTTTTTTATCTTTACAGGCTGATGTCATTTTCGTTACTTCCTCTACCCTTCCCAGTGTCTCAATTTGCAGAAATTCGATAAATTTGTTGAAGACACTTCATTATCTAAAAAATGTACATTTTTGTAATCAGCATTCTCACTTACCCTCCGTGTCAACTCCCAACCACGTAATGCAAAGTATCAAAATGGGTATCAGTCGATGACGAAAATTAGCCTGCACCTGACTTGCCCCGAAATATCGGTGCAAAGTTTGTTCCGAGTCTATTTTTTCCATGCATCTTCCCGGTTACTCAGGATCTGCCACTCTTGTAAGTCTTTTCCACAGTACGCGGTCTACGGCTTGTTCTTCTTCGATCTTCAATTCTTTCAAAGCCGCTTTGATCTTATCCGACCATCTCAGTCTTGACCTTCTTCTTGGCTTCTTTCCTGGTAATTCTTCTATTGTGGTTGATCTGGAGATATGGCTTTCTTCCCTTCTTTGCACTTGACCGTACCATCCAAGTCTTCTCTCCTGCATCTTCCTAGCTATTGGTGCAACTTTCATCGTTGCGCGTATGGTATCGTTGGTAACGTGGTCGATCATGGTGATGCTTGCCGTCCATCGTAGCATGCGTGTTTCCATCACACTAACTTTGCGTTCGTCGCCTCGCATACACGGCCAACATTCGCTGCCATATAGAGCTGGCGGGCGATTCACAGTACGGTACAACTGGGAAGTTTGCGTGGCATCTGCTTATCGCACATGACTCCTGTGAGGCTTTTCCATTTCATCCCCTGGCCGCTATCTCTTCTTGGATCGTACCATCTGCGCAGATGTGGCTTCCTAGGTACTGAAGGTAGGGTCTTCTTGATTGTAGCGTCTTCGATCTGTATGGTCCCAGGCGTTTGAGCTCCCAGCTCCATGTACTCGGTCTTCGCGACATTGATCTCAGGCCGTGCAGCTTGAGGTTGACGTATGAAGTTTCTGACTATCTGTCTATCTGTGATGAAGGATAGGCGACAGCATGGAGGAGCCTTAATAAACGCCGGCTTTTATCTGGAAGTTCTCTGATTGTCCTGCTGCTGTCCGTACGTGGCTGGACGCATCTCTGTATATCATCACGCATTCTTCTGGAACCATGTGTTTCCGGAGCGCCCACCATATGATCTTTTGCGGTACCTTATCGAAAGCTTTCTCCAGGTCGAGGAATGCTGTATGTAACTCACACTGCTTTTCTCAGCTTCTTTACTTCATCATTCTGACAGTATAGATGGCGTCGGTTGTACTGCCTTCCTTGACGGACGCATTGATTGGGTGCCAGCTCCACGATTCTTCGAAGTTGTGTTTCTATTATCCTTTCGGAGATCTTCATTGTGTGGCTCATGAATAGGATGGGACGGTAAGTGGTGCAGTCAGCTATGTCTCCTCGATTCTTCCAAATCAGTATTGTCGTACTTCTATACCAGTCGCGTAGCATCGTCTTTCTACTATCTGGTTTAGAAGTCGTGCTAGCCATGAAACTCCGACCTGTCTGCACTCCTTCCAGAACTCGTACGAGACGTCGTCTGGAACCGTCACCTTGCCATTCTTGGTCTTCATTATAGCGATGCGGACTTCCTATTCCGTGATTGCTGGTACCGGTCTGTGCACAAGGTCGGCTGCAGTCGTCGTCGACGCATATTCTTGGCTCGTGGATGCCAATTCTGTGAAATGTGTTCTCCATCTCTCGTTTATCTCTTGTGGCATTCTCAGCACTTTTCCCTGCTTGTCTTTGATGTTGTAGAAGTGTTTCATGTGTTTTGTAGCGTTTGTTCTTCTTCTTGCGATCCGATAAATCTCCCGCTCTGCTTCACAAGTATGAAGTCTTCTGTACAGCTCTGCCACATATGCTTCTTTAACTTCTTTAACTTTCTTCTTTGCTTCTCGCTTCGCTGCTAGGTAATTCTGATGATCGTCTTCTAATCTTGTTTTCTGCCACAACTTATACGATATCTTCTTCCTCTTGATCGCGGATTGGACGGTCTCGTTCCACCACTAAGTTCCCTTATCTAGTCTTTGCTTTCCTGGTTTCGTACATCCAAGTAAATTCCCTGCCATCAGCTGAACGTTGTTCTTCAGCTTCGCCCAGGATCGCTCCAGTTCATTTTCTAGTTCTGGTAGAGTTGACTCCATAGCTGCTTTCGCTTGAGCTCTTTGAGCTTCCACCACTTTATGCGAATTTCTATGCTCCACTTTTGGCTTTCTTCGATTCTTCACTGGGATATACAGATCCAGAATCAGCGGCCGGTGTTGTGGTACGCATTCTTCACTGGTGATAACTTTGCTGTTCTTTACATATTTGAGCTCTCTTTGCCGCACAACCCAGAAGTCTATTTGCGATTTCCGCTCTCCGCTGGCATACGTGACGAGATGGTTGTCCTTCTTGACGAAATATGTGTTTGCCAACACTAAGTCATGGGCAGTAGCGAACTCCAGAATGCGCTCCCCTTCATCGTTGCGAATCTCATATCCGTGATTGCCTTGACATTTACTTGCCCCACGTCGTTGTTCTCCTGTTCTTCTTCTGTGGTCGTTTAGATCTGCTCCAGTTAGCAACGCCTCTTTTAAAGGTACCGATCTGACGTAATTGTCGAGTTCTTACCAGAATACTTTTTTTCTCCTCATCAGTGCAACCTGCTTAAGATACTAGGTAGTGACTACTCGCAAAATCTTCATTCCAGCAACTAGCCTGATGCTCATGAGCTGGTCGCTTACTCGATCCACGCCTGTGATCCCATCTCTCAACCTTTCTGAGACGACTATTTCAACACCGTTTCTGCTGTTACTTGCTCCTTTATATAGAAGCCTGAAGCCATCTCCTAGATCGCGTGACTTTTCACCTTTCCATCTGATCTCCTGGATGCGAACGAAGTCCACTCTACGTCTCCTGAGGAAATCCACGAGCTCTCGATGTTGCCCTATGAGGGATTCTACGTTGAGGGTAGCTAATCGAAGCGTATCTGATAACTTGTTTTGTCGTTTGTATTCGTGATGATGAACTAGTTTCTTTGGTCGTCTCCGCTCATCTTGTTTGGACGGTAACCCTCGGTTACTGTTCGCATCTGTCGGGCTCAAATGCGCGTCGCCTCCGGGGAAGCCGGAGGCGCTAGCTTGTGATGAGAGCTCTTGATGAGACAAAAAGAGCATTTTGATGCGACGGTTTTCTTTCCCAGCCGGCTTGTCGCTTGATTCCATTGGGTGAGCAGCCTGACGCTGGATTTCGTGGGCAGAGCTTTGCCAACGAAATTAGGCCCGCTGCGGAATCGAACCTGTGACCTTCCTCTCCGTAGTCAAGGGCACTAATGCCAACTCTCCCTGTTCCGGGTCTGTTTAAGAATGAATTTTCTATTGAACCCTGCGAAGGAATATACATACTTACAAGGGAAGGCACTATACTTGGGACCGAATCGAATAATTATTCGATCATTCGAATAAATCATTCGAATGCGAATGATTCGAAAAGTCGAATATTTGAAAATCTGAGATTTCGAATAAAATTCGAAAGTCGAATATTCGAAATTTTCAGTTTTCGAATATATTCGATAATCGAATATTCGAAAATCTTCATTTTCGAATATTATTCGAAAGTCGAATATCCGAAAATCTTAACTTTCGAATATTATTCGATAGTCGAATATTCGAGGGTCATTCATTCGATCATTCGATGTCCATCAAATATTCGAGTATTCGTTAAGCACCGAATATTCGGAAATTCGATAAGAATTGACTATTCGAAAATTCGATAAGCACCGAATATTCGAAAATTCGACATGCATAGCGTATACGGGGTGTCTCAAAACTATTTATACACCGTTTGATCGCTAATTCCTCTCAAAGTCTTTTGCCAATTTCTGGGTAACATCCAGTAGGGATGGCTTCAGCTTATAAATA